GGGTTTTATTATTCGCAATATTTATCGATATCATCTTATCGAGTATTTGGTATGTCCATAAAATTACCCGTACACCTATTTAAAGATTAAGATATGTTCGTTATTATAATGTGTAGATTCAAGATTGTTCGTCAGTCCGCCCGTATTTGTCGATCGCAATAATTGTCGTTCAATAATTTTTCCACGCGTTTATTTTATTCTGTTTTTTTAATTATGCTAAAAATTAAACAAAACCACAATTCCAAGTTGAAAAAGTATGTTCCAGAATTTGGTGAAAATATTTTTTCAATCGATGGATTAATTTTATATTGTAAAATTTGTGACGTCAAAGTGTCAAGTGAGAAAAAATTCCATATTCAGCAACATATCGGAAGAGATAAACACAAAAATGCGCTTACAAAAATTGAAAATAGTATAAAAATTCAGCCTTTCATTAATAAAAATACCTTTAAGTCAGATTTCATTTACGATTTGTGTAACGCGTTGGTTGCGGCAAATATCCCTATGAATAAATTGAATAATGACGTTTTTAGATCTTTTTTATCAAAATATTGCAACAAAAATATTCCATGCGAATCGACATTAAGAAAAGGATACTTTGATAAATGTTATGAAGAGGTTTTGTTGAAAATTCGTGAAGCTGTAGGTGAACATAAATATAATATGGGTGTGTATTGACGAAACCACAGATTCAGAACGCCGAAACGTGGCTAACATAATAGTTGGAATTCTACAACCAGAAAGTCCTGGAAATTTGTATTTTCTTCACACAGACTATTTAGATAGGGTAAATAGTAGTACAATTACCCAGCTATTTGACAAAGCAATGCATATATTGTGGCCAACTAATGTAAAATACGACAATATTTTGCTTTTTATATCTGACGCGGCTCCTTATATAAAGAAAGCGGGTAGTACAATTCAAACTTTGTACCCGAATATTATTCATTTAACTTGTTTGGCTCATGCATGTCATAACGTCTGTGAAGTAGTACGAGCATATTATAAAAATGTAGACCAGTTAATTTCTGAAATGAAAAAGACATTTTTAAAATGTCCTAAGAGAATCGCAGTTCTGAAAGAAAAATGTCCAGAATTGCCAAATCCACCTAGACCGATAATTACACGTTGAGGTACATGGTTAATGCAGTAAAATATTATTGTACAAATTTCAATGAACTGAAATCTATAATTAAAGAATTCGAAGAAGTATCTGAATGTGTGAGAGCAGCTAAAAGACTTTTTAAAATGCCATCGATACAAAGTAATCTGGTCTATATTGTATCTAATTTTGGATTTTTGCCTGACACAATTACAAAACTAGAAACAAGAGGTAACAATTATTATTTTTATGTGTTTTACATGTTTTATATATTAAAATATACTGTGTATGTTTTAGGTGTATTACTATCGAAAAGTGTAGATGTTGTAAATAATATACAGATTAAACTCGAAGAATGCAATGGCGAAATAGCTAAATTGATTTTGGATAAATTCAACAAAGTTATATCGAAGAACAAAGGATGGGAAAATATTAAAAAGATCAACCAAGTATTGATTGGAGAAACCACAAGCGATGACGATCTATCAAGTAGCAATCTTAATTTAGATAATTATTTAAGTATGAAATACGCCCCGATAACTTCGGTGGACGTAGAAAGATCGTTTTCGATGTACAAAAATATTTTAACTCCTAACCGCAGCCGTTTTTCTGAAGACAGCTTATCAAAATACATGGTAGTCAATTTTTTTTTTTAATACCAACTAGTTTATTTTGCATTAAATTAACTGGTAGAACTCAAATAAGTTAATATTTATAATTGTTTTTAACTAATTCTTAGAACAAACCTGGTCAAAGAAAAAGGTACCTAATCTATTTATACAAAATAGCATAAACTTTATGTAGTTTAGTATTCATGCTCATTTTTAATTTGTATTTTTCTCAAAATGTGTGCATTTGAAAGTGTTTAAAAAATGTTCACTATTTTATTTTGTAGTATATTTATAAATTGTCTTTTTTTACATTTTAAATGCTTTTTTTATTGATTATATTGCCTTCAAATCCGAACCCTACATATAACTAACTAACCTTCTTAATGTTGAGAAACTACGCTCAGCAGAAGCTATAGAAACAGGCAAACAAACAATAATATGTAGTATTTTTTTAATATTTGGGTATAATATTTCATTACACTGGTCCATAGATGTTAATGCATCAGTAAGTGATTATAATCAGTGAAAATATTTATTATTTACATTATTTTAGCTAGACAATGAATTTGTATTATGGCATAAAAAAACTTCTTGGGGGGGGGGGCAAATGCCCCTGTTGCTCCCCCTCCACAGGTACGCCACTGACAGCAGCTTTAAATAGTTAAAAATAAAAATAAAACAAATCGCGCCGTCACCGCACTGCATTGGTGTGCGCTCTCCCTTAGATGTACGAAATACAAATAATAAAATTTAATAAATACATTTTAAAACCATTGATTTGCAAATTTAAAGCTAACTTTCTCTAAATATTCAATTCTCGTAATCTTCTCACGAATGTACTCAGTCATACAATTTTCCAAGTATTTGTTATTTCTTTCCTGTTTGCTAGTAATTTGCTAGTATCTAGTAATCTATATTATATCTATTATATTTCTATACTCTATCTTATCGATATAATAATTGTGTCTATATGTCATACATATAGCTTTTAAATTTTTGTTTTTTGCTCTCAATGCACTGGCTCGCCTAACCTGTACACAAACGGAAACCAATACGGCTATACCTAATAAAATACCTTTTTCAAACGGGAATCAATTCGGTTACTCCCAATCCGTTGATCGTATCTTTATTTAATATTGTACCATATACTTGCTATGGCACCACTAATTGCTAATTTAGATTCTACTAAAAGAAATATAAATTAAATAAATTTAGGTTAAAAAGTATTATACATGCGATCATTCACTACTCTCAGGCGTTTTAAGGCTTAAGGTTACATGGCTTCGTTTAAACATGGGAAAGGAACGCATTTTTCAATATTCACAAGAATATACACATAAATGTTGATAATATTATTTCTAAATTTGGAAAAATAATACAAAGATTAAGCTTTGTTATTCAATTTTAAAAATTAACAATTTCATAAATTCATAATGTTCTAATTTGACTTAATAATTTACTTTTAATATTTTGTAATTGTGTATTATCTTTTTGTACTTTCGAAAAAATGATCCCTTCCCAATTTCTTCTAGATACGCGCTCGTTTGTATTAGGTCTGTTTTTGTTCTTCGGCTTTTTTTAATGATTTGCGTTTTATTAAACTTTTTTTATTTCAAAATATTTAAATTTTAATTAAAATTATTTTTATGTTTCAACCTAAACCAAGTTTCAGGAGGGTGAATAGAAACCAAAAAATCTACAACATCCCTTATTATATCATCAGTTAATTTTTTTATATAATTAAAATAAATTGTTGTAAATAAAAAAACTTTCACATTTAAATAATATTTTTTTTGGCGGCACACTGCGACGGAAACAATAATGAGGTAGATAATCTATGTCCAATTTTTACTTGTCATATTCTATTTGTGTTTGTTAAATATTTTCATTCATACAAATTACATTCTTTTTTTTTTTTAATTTCGACCAAGAGTACATATAATTATTAATATTAATAAAATAATAATAATAATAGAATCATAATTTATTTTGCTATAATTCTTAAAATTTTATAGAATATAGTAGATAGTTTGTATTTAGAGCAAGTATGGCATGGATTCAGATTTGTATGGTCAATCTAAAAAGGATTAAGATAATTAATATAGGGAATAGTTATTTGTATAATAATGAAAATTCTTAATATTACTTTTTCCAAGCTGTCTTATTTTCAAGGTTATACTGGTTAAATATTAATTACAAATTACAATTAAAAACACAACACATTGAATTGTATGACTGTTTTAATGAACAAGCCTTCACTAAAAGCAAAAAATATAAAAATAAAAAGAGGATAGTATTAACTATCAAATTACAAACAATTCATATGCATATAATAGTAGTGATGAATATTAATTAAAATAATAATAATAATAATAATAATAAAAATGAATACAAAATTAAAATGTATTCTTGTTTAATTATAAATTAATTAATAATAAATAAGGAATTATTATATTTGTAACAATGTAAACACCCCTGTTTTATAATGTACTTGGAACAATACACCTACTAGAGTTATTTAAGTATAATGGAACAATTGTAGGAAAATCAATATGATGCAAGTCAAAAATGTAAAATAATTATAATCAAAACAATCCGCAAATAAAAAAAAAAGTTATGTGATTAAAAAATATATATATAATATATGCATAAGCATGAAAAGTAATAACTAATTTACATAAATATGTAAAAAAAAGCTTATATCTCATTAATCTAGGCTTAAGTATATAAATATCCTTACTTAAGTGGTCAAAACGTAGTTTTACACAAATTCAAAATATTTTTTATTATGAATAAGATAATTAAATAATTTTTCATAGAAAATATCAACTAAAACTAATACCTTTTTAAACAAATATAACAAACTTAAAGTAAGCTACGTTTTTACCAGTTAAATAAACAAATAAACATAATAAAAGTATTTAAGAAAACAATTATTAACTTAGCCTGGTTATAGGATTATTATTAAAATGGTTTTGTTGAATAGAAAATCCATTTACAGGACCTTGTGTTTCTTGATCTGATGGAATATTAAGATTTACTAATGAACTGATAGCATTTAAAGCAGCCTGAATAAAATTAAGTGAATTATATATTAGTATTAGAGTAATGTATGGAAAATAAGTTTATACATGGGAAATATATTATTTATAAATATTCTGATGGTATCAAAAAATACTTACAGCATTACGTGACTGTTCTGAAGTAGAACCAGATCCTTGACATATCTGGGGAGGCATTGTTGATAATGACACCAATGTCAGGTAATCTTTGTGATTCCCCTAAAATTATAACAGTATTATAAGATTTAATAAAAATAAAATGTACATAGTTCTATCGAACTTTATTTAAAACTAAAACAGACCTTTGGGAAATCAGAATACTGCACTTTGAAGCCTAACAATTGTGAATAATAATCCAGCTGTTTAGTCGGATGATAATTCTTAACTGAGAAGTCACTAGCCATGTTACTAGCAACTGTTACTAAAGGAACACCATAATTTCCTTGACTAGGTTTATTGGCTATTGATGTTTCAGGTGAAACAAGTAAGACACCAGGAGCAATTTGTCTCCCACTTTTCCGTGGACTATCAATATTTGCTTTGTTCTCATGACTCGCCTGCAATATGGAAATTTTTAATTTGTAATTGCAATATTCATTAAAGTTATATTAATAAAATTTACCAAAGGCAAATCATTATTTTTAATGGTACGTCTTTTAAGTTCACTTTCATAACCCATTTCTATCAATAGTTTTTCAGCTGCATTGCGTTTAGCATCCTTTTTATTTGGTCCTTTACCCAATGCTGAATTTTGTCCAATTGAAACCTTAAATAATATAAATAAGTCAATAATTATTTATGAAAAATACCTTCATAGTTATATATTATAATCTTAATTACTTCAAATATAAATTCTTTTTTTCGATTGGAGTGTATAATGTCATCTTTAAGAACATATAAAGGTTCTTTTTCTTTTTTAGATGCCTGTATTTTAAATAATTTTGCCACCGGATCAGTATCCTCAGTTCGATAAGAACCATCCATAGGTTCAATATTCTCTGAATTTGGTTTTGTTTCCTTGATAAGATTCTTATTTTTCCTTCTGGGCATTTTATAACGATTTTTTGGTGGCAATGGCAATGTTGGAGAACTATTTTCATCTTCTAAAAGAGACTCATTAGCTTCTTTTAAAGTTTGTAGCATTGTTTCTGCTGCACGGCGCTTTGAAAGCTATAATATTAAACCAAATTTTTAGAAAATTAAACATATGGTTTAAAATACAAAAAATGATTTTATAACATTTTATGGCAAATAATATTTAGAAAATATATTTTTTAGTTAAATATTTGATAAATTTATTTCTGTTTAAAATGTAAATATTCAAGTAAAAACTATGTAAATATAATAATACCTTTTTTCCATTGCCTTCACCAGTAGCATTGAATGTGCCTACAGTGCATTTAGTAATATATGTTTTCATGTGAGGTAGTCCTTCTTCTTTCAAAACTTCAAATTTGATAGGTAACTTCATTTTTAGAGCTACTTCATAGACTTGTGAAATTACCGATTTAGAATCACCAGCTATTAAAATTAAAATCATAATTAAATAATAAACATAAATTATTGTACTATTGAAACATACATTTTAAAACTTCTTTTATATTTTCATTCTTTTCTTCGTTTTTTATTTGCATTAAAGCTTTTAACGCTGCATCATGTCTTGCGGCTTGATTAGTATTACCTTGCCCAATAAATTCATGTTTACCAATTTTGAGTTTGACCTTATAAATTCCTACAGGTTTTACTTCAGGTTTAATATAATTATTAGTTGGTGGAACCTAAAAACAACATATCATTTTTAAACAAATTTAATAATTATTTTATTAATAATAATTACCTGAGAAACTGTAAAACGTGGGTTATAAAAATTTGGAACATATGGCAAACATCGTGGACCACCTCTAGTACTGTTATAAACACAAAAGGTTTTCAATTTAAAATAGTTTATACATATAAATATTAAATTCTTAATTAATTAATTTTTACACAATGTTATTGTAGTTATTATATGGTCCCGCCGTTCTTGCATGAGAGTACATTTCTGGTCTATAACCATTATACATTGTACTTGGGGTTTGGGATGTTGCCAAATATTGAGGTGTTTCTATAACAGTATAAACTGTTACTTCACCACGTTTCATTGCTAAAGCATTAAGCTCAACCGTCGGTGTAATATTATCTGTAAATTTAAATTTAAAAGTTAAGTTTAAATTATTTTATACACACTACTATTAGCAGTGTAATTTGTATTACTATAATGACCAGAAGCTTTTAATTTCATTTTGGTTTGAGGTTGTTTATAATTGGTTTTTGTCAATGCTAAAGCAGCTGCAGCATGTTGTGCTTTCTTTATGCTCATAGCATCTGCATTATATTCTTCATTTCCTAATTGTAAGGTAACAGTAAATTTCTTTTTGTGTGGTGGGCCTTGTTCATTAGTTAATTTATATTGATGTTTTATCTATTTAGGATAAATATAATTTAATATGAATGTTTTTATTATAACTCAGTTAGGGTGAACAAATTAAGAGCAAACAATTTGTACCTTATTAAATCGTGCCAATTCATTTACTAAGCACATAGGAGTTTTATCTTTATCAACAGAAGCATTGTTTGATGAGTATTCATTTTGTAATGATACATTTGACTGGGAGTATGAATTTCTATCAGAATTCAAAACTATTGCACCGGCCATCAGATAGCCTATAACATGATACATATAATTATTAGTCATGTATCTTCCAAGCAGTACATATTATATAAATATAAAGAAATATCTTTATACTTATCAAAGCATTTAAAAATTATAATATACAATGCATATTTTTTAAGTAATAACATTTTTTTTATATATAAAAAAATGTAAATTTAAACAATAATTATAAATAATAATTTTAGAAACAAAAATATGGTTTAAGGCATAAAGTATTAATTGTATTTAAGCCAATAATATATTAAATGGTTAATTATACTTCTACAAACACTTAACTTGTAATATTAGCATAAACTATGATTTAACCAAAAAAAAAAACAACAATTTTTTACATAATTAATTTTTAACATTTCAATTTAATATGTCTTATACCAATAGTAATGATTCAATTAAGTTTAAATAAAATAAAATTATTGATCAATAATATACAACATTTAACAATAAACTTAATGAAACACATAATTATTAATAAATAATAGATTACCTTGTCAGTTAGTCAGGAGTGTCATTTGGAGGGGGGGCAGACTATGGCAAATGCCCCACACTAAGAAATTTTAAAAAGTTGGCAATTCTTTGTGAGATGATCAAATGCTAAAATCGGTAAATGGTAAATTTTTATTTACGATTTTGTACTCAGAAATCAAATAATATTCTCTTTTAAATACACGTTCACGGTTTATTAAAGGTTGGGAAACACTGACTCTTCCCTGATTTATGACAACTGTTTTTATGTGAACCTTATAAGCTTTATTTTTGATATATATTTCTATAAATGTGATCTTTATAAAACAGTTTTCATGATATCGAATCTATAAAAAAAAAACCGTTAAAATTCACCTCAAACTATGGTACATTATATTTGAGATACAATTTTATGTTTTTATAAATAAGTTCTATAAAGTATTAAATACACAAATAATAAAATTTTAAGTATTTATAATCGTATTTTTAGAATTATATTATTATTCTATTAAACCTATTGATAGATAACTTACAACCTTTACATGTTTTATTCCAAAAAAAATATTTTATTGATAGTCTATAGTCCATAAATACTAAATATTTAAATACATAGGTAACCATAATTTTTTAAATATAATGAAGTCAGAAAATTTAAAAATGTATTCCACCCTTTCAAATTGAAATGATGCTCCTGTTTGTTTATCATGACATCATTAATCATTACTAATCCTTAGATGTTTTGTTTCAAAAAAATATTTTATTGATAGTTTATAGTCCATAAATATTAAATTTTTAAATATATAGGTAACCATAATTTTTTAAACATTATGAAGTCAGCAAATTTAATCAATTTCCCCCACCCTTTCAAAACTTGAAATTACGCATCTCCAGTTAGTATAAATAAAACAAATACACTGAAAATGAATTGCACAGTAAACATAAATTACAGTTGATCTAAAAAATTTTAGACAGTGATATGTACATTTACATCAGTGATTTCCAGTTAGTATGAAGTCATAGATCTCTAGTTAAATTTTAATTGGACCTGAGAACCTCTTTATTGTAAATGCTTATGAAGAAATATATTCTTTATGATTTCTTTCCTTTGACAAAAAAAAACTATCAATTTTATGTTTAAAAACATACAGTCCAAAATTTAATTTATTTTTAAAAAGCTATGAATTTCGAATTTGCTGTGAAAACTGTGGTAATTTTATAAGGTATTGATAAATTTACTTCATTTTATTTAGTGAAAATATCAGCTAAGAATTGAAGTTAAAATAATCAAAAACAAAAAAATTATACATAAGCCAAAACACATGGCTAATGTTAATATAATCCAGCTAATATTGACTTTATCCAAATTTTAACACTATCCATAATATATAAATAAATACAAATCAAATTTAGTAAATACCATGTAATTGTAGAAATAAGAAATCCTAATTTTGCAATTATAATTGAAAAAATAGTTAGTTACTTAAATTTAATAGAATCATTGACTAAGACTAAAATAAAAAGAATAAAAATTTTTCTTTCAATAATAAAAAATAATAACAAAAAATGTTTAAGTATTTCATCTCATTAGTAACATTTATAAAAAGTTTAAAAAGTTCAAATTTTATAAGCTGTACAAAACAAGAGCATGTCTCAAGTAATGTACAAACCCAATAGAAAATATACTATGGAAAGAATATTTTTAATTACACCATGAAAAACAAATCATGTATTAAAAGTAAGGCATTATGTGTAAATGGTATTAAATAAGAAAAACATTTACAATATCAATATTAAAATAGCAGTAAAAATATTCCAAGCATATCAATTAAAACCATGAATCATAGGTTTATTTTTTTAACTGAACCACTTCACAATTTTAGATTAGGTGTTTATTGATTTCATACAACGGAAATTTTTAAGTTGAACGTTTAATATGATTTTTAGTAAAGAATGAAATGATGATGGAATTAACATAAAACAGTGAAAACACATATAGGTACACATAAAAATTCAAAAACCAAGGAAAATACATTACTAAATCAATAAACTAAAACGAGGTCCATTTAAATAAGTTACCCGGTATACACAAGCAATATTCAGGCACCATGATCATTAAAAAAAAAACCGCACATCAACGGTTTTGTGTTCAATCCCGTATTACTTAGTAGACAAAAAAAAACGGTCACAGAAATTTACCTTCAACACAGTTTGATAAACCAAAAATATCTGAAATCTCTTCAAAATCAATAAACTCATTGAAAATCGAACCGTTAGTATTAGCAGCAAGTATGGCTGGCAGAATCACAAACCATATCATCTTGGATGTTTAACGTGAATACAATCAGTATCCACACCAGGATACGGCGATCAACTCACTATTCAGGGCGTCACAACAAATCCTGAGTACAAAAGTACACTACGGAACAAAACAAAGCTAGATAAAAATAAAAAACAAAAAAAATCAAAGCAAGAGGATAAATAACTCGATCGATCCGCTCGTTAACGTGGTTCAACGACAGTTCTACGTCGTGCGCGTAGATCATGGGACTGCCGTGGATAAGTAGCACACTGCCCTAGATTTGACACTGGGAAAAACCGATTGCCGGGCGAATCCCGTAAGCGTGTTGTATTACACATATATTATGTAGAATATCAGTATATGCGGGTAAATTGAAACAAAATCGACTTACCTGTAGCGGTGTACAATAATCGTGTTGTTAACGAAAGTCGGCAAATGCGCTATTGTTTTCGAGGGGAAGTCCGGACAAAATAACGGCAGATCAGCTACAGTCAACGGCAACGAGACGACTAACATCAACAGCTGTACGCGTCTGTCTGTACAGTATGCACTGTGCAGACCGCGTAGGCGTATGCTCGTTACGATACGCGAATATAAGAGGAAAAAATACTGGTAATATTAACGGTCGACCGTTACGACCGTGGTTGTAGTATCCTCTACATTATAACCTCGAAAAACGCACCTTAAAGTATAGTAGATAGTAGTGACGAGCCACGGAAACGGATATTGAATAACAACAAACATAAACTGTGATATTGTTTTAGTTTCGAAACAATATTGTTAACGATCAAGCCGGTTCGAATGTAGTAGTTAATTTGGCTAATAAGCGTTTTGACAATTGTTCCGATTATTTCGTTACAAGAAATTCATGTTTTATTTTTTTTTCACAACATGTTACCTTAGCAACAGTAATGTCCAGCTCGCCTTAACATTGATCCAACTATTTTTAATTATTACCATTCATTCCCCTGATGAAATAATCGTATTAAGTCATTTGTTTTGGAAAAATGTTCAAAAATACATTTCAAAGCGGGTTTTTGTCCATACTTTATAGTATTGGCAGTAAACCCTTGCAGCTCTGGGATAAGACTGTTAGAAATGGACACATCAAGCGCATTACAGACAATGATATCCAGTCATTAGTATTGGACATTGTAGGTACTAACATTAGTACAACGTACATAACGTGTCCAGCTGAAAAAACAAAAACTCTGGGTATCAAGCTGCCATATCTGATTATGATTGTGAAGAACATGAAAAAATATTTTACATTTGAAGTGCAGGTGATTAAATATTATTTTAATTACTATTTTTTCTATTAAAAAACTTGTACACATTTTATTCCTGTAGATCCTTGATGATAAAAATATTAGACGCAGGTTTCGAGCCAGTAATTACCAATCAACGACTAGAGTTAAACCATTCATTTGTACAATGCCAATGCGGCTTGATGAAGGTTGGAACCAGATTCAATTTAATCTTGCAGATTTTACAAGGCGTGCATATGGCACTGGTTATGTAGAAACACTGAGGGTCCAGTTACATGCCAATTGTAGAGTAAGAAGAGTTTATTTTAGTGATAGATTATACTCTGAAGATGAATTACCTGCTGAATTTAAATTATTCTTACCTGTTCAAAGTAAAGTAAGTAATTAATTAATTTTTGTATAGTTACATAGATTAGAACATTAATTTAATCTTTATTTGAATAGTAATTTGTAATTTGTAATTGTAAATAATATAAATAAAGTTGACCAAAAGAGAAATTTTTTGGTGCAGTCTGTTTACAAATTGTTATACATTTCAATTTAAATAAAACAAACTATAATTCAGTAAATATTATGTAAATATGCTGATTAGAAATAATGGTGATTAATGCATATTAGAATGTTCATTTTTATTCAAAAATATTAATAAAATTAAACAAAATAAATGATTTTTAGTCAATAGTTTTTGATAAACTTTGTGTTACATTCGAAAGAATGACATTTTATTGTAAGGATTATAAATGATAGCAATACAACTTTTAGAAAGTTTCCAATTTATTTTCAGTTTTCATTCTTAATAAAAGAACTTAGAGAACTACTGAGAAAATATATTACAATGTCTTCTAATAAAACTTAGAATGGGATACTATATGATTCTTAATATAGTTTTACCATTGCTTTTATAGTATATTCAAAAATTAAAAAAAAAAATGTATTAACTTTTCCTGAGTAGTACTTAAATTCTTATTTTTTTAAATAAGTTTAAGGAAGTTGTAATATTTTTAATACAAAAACTGTATTAAATACTTAACCATGACATTAGTAAAGAATATACTTGTTTGGTGTTATACTAAATAAGAAATACATTTTCTTATTATTATTTACTTTTTTATTTTTGAATTAAATGAAATAATGTATTCATAATGTTTTTTTTCTTTAGTATTATTATATAACAATATAATGTTTAGTTGGTTATTATCTGATTTCATATTCTTTTATAACTTCAATCAAATAAAAATATGTCTTACTTTAACGAAAAAAAAATATTTTAATAACTTACATTAAATAAAAAAACAGTAAAAAAAAAAAATTTAATTATCAGGTATTTCTTTTTCTCTTTCAATAGATTCACAATGTTCTTTTTCTGTTTCTTCAGTATTTACTTGTTCATCTTCTTGTTTTTTAACCTTTGGGGAGGAACCACTGCTTTCAGAATCGCCTTAAAAATAAAACATTATAAATGCAACTATCTTCAGTTTTTTTCATGATAGTTCACTATTTTTCTACATGTTATTTTATTATATTAATTTATAGTATAACTATTGTTATTTTATTTTATTTTTTAATGATTTAAATTAAGTAAAAAATGTATTTGTACATTGATAAATTTTATTATTACCATTTTCACCTTCTGCTGTTCTTTTTTCAGGTCGACCACAGACAGAGAGTAGATTGAACTTACAAAAGCGCCTATAATTTTCAACAACAGACAAACAGCATACTGATTTAACCACTTCAACAATAATAGTTTTTTTAGCTCCACCAGATAGATCCACAGAATGCTCTCCTAAACTAGCCACTTGGTTAGCCAATTCATTAATGATTTGATCACGTTTTACAGAATTATTATATCTGTGGCTATAATATACACCATACATTTTCATATAAATGTTTCATGATTATTTATTTAAATATATGTATAAGTTTTTTACTTGAACATAATTGCAAATGTTGTTGGTTCGGAAGAAAAATGCTTAGCAAATAAATCTATAAAAGCTGTTGTAATGGATTGGAGATTGGCCTATGATCAGAATTCAAAATTTTATCATAAAATACAGTTTTTAAAATTAAGATAAATGCTATAATTTTATTTTACTTTGCAAGTAATAGAGATTGGAATCATGCGCAAAAGAAATTTAGTCTTCTGTACTTTAGTATTTTCTATATCCTCAAGTATCTTGTACATAAGTTCACATGGATCTTCAATCTATTATTGGATTTTCAGAAATTTAAAACTGTTTAGGTACCTTTTTTTTTCAGTTTTTATATGTTAATAGATTTAATTACTTACAGTGGTACCAATAAACAAACAGTTTCCAACTCCGGTAGCCAATGGAGTGAACTTTTTCCAATCTGAATTATCCTTGTTGGATAAATTTTGTAGTTCATTATCCATAGAGTCCATTATATCCGTAGATTCTTCTACAGTGCCAGTGTTATCTTCTAATAGATTCTAAATTAGGAAGAATAATTAATTTAATTAATTTAAAATCTGATATAATATTAAACCTTAATAATACTTAATTCTAAAAATTATAAGATTTGGCACAAACTTACACTACAGCTTTCTATAACCATCAGAAATTATAACATGAGCTAATTGGTAACTGTTTAAGCTATCATCCTTTAATGTATCTCAACATTTAAACTGGACTAATATTTAATATTTTTACTACAACCAGTAAATAAATAAAAAGTGTAAGCAATTTATTATGAGAAACATGGTAAGCTATCATTATACAACAAAAATTAATTTGGTGATAAAACAAGTCTAAACCAATGTATACTCAATTCTCAACATACTGAAACAAAAAATAATTCATTTTATAACGACAAAGACCTGGATAAGGTGGTTGGACATTTAAGGAAAAGTCCAAGGAACTGCAGAATTGACACAAATAGTCATAATAATAAGAAATCATAAAAAGTATTTCAAATAAGAGTAATTTAAATTTACTAAACATAAAAAACATTAATAACATTTAGTTTCCATATTTTTAGTGATACATAACATTTCATAAGTTGTGTACCACTATTTTATTCAATGAATAATTAAAAATTACTTTTTTTATTGAAATGTATGATAATGTAATCAGAAAAATACGGGGGCAACTTGGTGATTCTCTTTCCATGGGCTTTTAAATTTTTCAAATTACAGTCAAGTTTTATTGTACTTTATATATTACTTATTAATAGGCTTAGGGACTTCTAGCATTTGCATACTTTTTTTAATTATTGTTAAATATATCAAAGTGTATAAATATTGCAGAAATTATATTATATTAATGATATTATTAATTATTATTAATGATATTTATATTATTAAATCTTTTTTTCTGGTTTTTTTTGCCAATTTGTCCAGTCAAAGTACTGGACCTACAGTTATATTGACAACCTCACGATGAACAACTATAGATTAAACCATTGAAACGACTCTAAAATAATATAATTACACAATTCATATAATAATATAATACATTATGTTAAGCATTAAGTACTAAATTTAAATTTCATACATTCATAAAAATAAACTATAAAGGAAATGAAAAAAATCTAAAAAGATTGTTTCAATTAATATTTTAGTGTTTTATGTTTGAACTGTTAATTTTATTTGAGCCTAGAGACTGTATAATAACTAATAAGTACAGTATATTTATTTTTTTAAATAGAAAATAGATGAATACCTATATTATATTATTTATAATATGGATGAATTATAAATATTTAAAAAAGGTCATGGGGTGGGATCTATCTCCCTCATCCCCCCCTTTGACCACCACTGCAACCATTCAATGTCGAATCATACTTAAAACGTCGTACTCATATATTTTGTAACATCGTGTAATGCCGAAAGTACAACAGTCTACGAGTAGCCGACTAAAAATTTTTGTTTCAAAGTTTAGAAATACATTTAAATTCGATGGACACGTTTTATTTTGTGTACTATGTGGTCATTCTTTTCTTTTTTTTTTTAATGCATATAAATGCTTATTATAATGCATATTTTAAAGATTTTAGTAGCATATTTGCATGCATATTTGTGTATTTTTTAGAGCTATAAGTCCCTAAGCCTACTTATTAATATTTCTATTGGCCGTTCCTTTAAATAAACTCCAGATTTATCCCTGGTAAAATTAATTATGTATAATTCAATGGTACTAAAGATTTCTATAAAAGATACTTCTATAATAAAACTAGGGTTGCCATACTGACAAAATCATGTAATTAAATTTGTAAGAAAAATTAAGCAACTATAATAAAATAAAATATAATGTATGTTAACAATTGAGACAGGGTAAAATATATAATTGAAGGCACAGAAACAAATTGTAAGTATTATATAAACATGTACATTTAATAGACATTATTATACATTGAAAAAATATTCAATTTGCTTACATATTTTATGTGAATTATCAATTTTTATAGAATTTAATAAGCTAAAATCAGAATTCTCCAAAATATTACACAAGTTCTTACAAGTAGTATAATATAAATATTTTTCTTTGTATAACTTTTCAGCCAATTCATATTGGTGGTTGTTCATTAATTTTTCATTAACTACTACTAACAATGGTTTTCCATAGTCTAATGCTTGCATTATGGAACCAGCTCCTCCATGACTTATTACTAGGTCGCTATTTCTCATATCAAGTCCAATATCTGATTTAAATTTATAACTTGAGATTTTCACAATATTAGAAGGCTTGATAATAAATGTACCATTTCCTATTTGAATTGTCATTGATGTATAGCCTTTACGTTTCAGAGCTTCAAGAACACAATCTTCAGTAACAGAAGTAATAAGCTCATCAAATTTAGTTGTACCAACAGTGACAAACACAGATTTTGTAGACATATCGTAATTTTCAAAAGAAAAAGGAAATATATATCCACAATTTAATTATTTACAAATTGAAAACTAACAAAGATGTACAAACAAAAACATACAAAGCATAATTATTTAAGTTTCTTTAAGTAAAACAAGTATTATTTTGATAAGATACTAGCGATTTATTGTAGGAGCGTCTAAACAAAGGAATGCACCTAATGCGTTCTGCGCATACGCATAATTTATTCACCACTATCATAATGTTAAGCTATTATCAATATATTATATCAAATCACCATAATACGATAATAATATGAGTTTTGAATCAAACTATTCAAAATTTGAACATACTACATACGTATTTTACATTTTTTTTTTGTGCTTCGACCATTTCAGTAAATAAATCATTATACATACCAGATACATTTAAAAAAAATTCAAAACAGCAATAACTATCTAATATGTTAAGATGACTTTTAATAATATTTATTTATATCTAAATTTATTCAATTACCTATTTTAACATTTCATAAACCAGACTTTACCAAATTTATTACACAAAGGCTATTTACTAAATGTTTTATTGAGTATTAACAATACAATTCACAAACGTCTTAAACATAAAAATTCAATATTATCTAATATCTATATAAATTACATTATCTTAATAGTAAGTACAGGTATGAATTATAAAAAAAACTAGTGTAGTGAGCTGAATTGTGAGTTCAACACGGTTACACAATATTAGGATGTAAGGATTTTAGAGTTAGATTAATAACTTTAATAAGAATACTTATTACGGTATTATTGATATTTTATTTAACACTTTTTAATTTAACATCAACATAGACAAAGTAAATGATAGTAACAAATATAAGCAGAGCGTATATACTGGATGGCTGGATACATTTGGTTGCTAATGCTGTTTAGCAACTGTTTCCTATTCGAGAATTTGTGATTCGCACGTGGTTCATATTACTTCTATTAAATTGTTTATGGTTATAATTGTAAATACGTAGTAACTATAAAATACGTATGAAAAAATATAATGTATACATAGTACATTACACTAGAGATGAAACTAAACAACTCAATAATAAACTACTATAAAAAAAAATTACAACGAAACTGAACATTATTATTTAACTAAAATAAAATGACAATATATTATTTACATAGGAAGTATGTAGTTAAATTTTGAATAGTTTGATTCATAACTCATATTATTATAATATTATTGTATTATAGTGATTTGATACGTTATATAGACAACAATAGAGTAACACTATGTAACAGTCTAACATTATGATAGTGGTGAATAAATTACGCGCATGCGCAGAATTCCTAAGGTGCGTTCCTGTATTTAGACCACGGTCTTAAAAGATATCTTCTAAGACCGTGGTTTAGACACTCCTTTTATTGTCAACATTAGTTTTAAACTTATCAATTTTTATCAAACAGTAATAATAATAACCATAGAATACACAGATATAGATAAGATCTTATCTATATCTGTGATAGAATATTATAGAAAAGACAGCTATCTGGATTCCAATCATAGACATAATAGATATTATGTCTATGATTCCAATACATTAACATATATAAGATCCAATATTGTAGTAATTTGACCCACTTTATAAATTGATTGGCTTGAATTGATAGTCGCTTGCGCTGGTCAATATATATAAATGGGGCATTACGTTACATAATTTATATAGATACAATTCATAATTATGAAAATTAAAAGCTCTTTAGTATTTTCCATATTTTTAATCCTTTAAGTCTAGAATATTTTGATCTAAATGCCAATATTTTAGAATATTTTTTAACACATTCCACATGTTTTTATATAAATAAAGCCAAAAATTCCTTCTGAATTCCAATCAGCAAAATCTTTGTTAAACAATCCGATCGGGCATATCAACTTCGAAACAAATATTATTACTTTATTGAAACTCCCTTCTGCATTTTCTTAAACTCAAATTACTTTCAATTATTTTCACTTTACTTAATACAACAGTTTCTAATGAAAGATTAAATGATTTAACAGTTATCAATGTAGAATTATATATAATATATAATCATAGAATCATATATACTGCACGCAATATATGTATCCTATGTAATATGGTATCTTCTTAAAAATTGACAAAATATATTTCTGTAACTATACCTACCTAATAAATGCTTTTATACAATATTTATTATCAGCTCTCGCTTTACTGCTATTCTTAGTACATACCATTATTATATTATAGTCGAAAAATTGTTTTTAACTAATGTTACTATTTTTACTCGATTTTTCAGCAGTTTTATAACAATTATTGTAGATCAAAAAATAAATATATGATAGTGCAATATACAATATAAATATTTGCATTACGCCTTCCAAAGGAGGCGCGCTTTATAGTTTGAGAACGGCTGATTTAGGTAATAATCCTTATTGCAAAGTTCCATAATACTACAAATAAATAATAGTTGAAAATAGACTGATAAACGAAAATCCAACACTATTTTTTAGTCCTTGACCGGCCACACACTATTCCGGCTTAGAAAACTTTCAATATTAATCAGTAACTTGAGATTATTGATATAATTAAGATATAATACAAATATGCATAATGTTAAAAAATAACACATATCTAATAAATAATCAATTATTTGTAATGACCATTGGCCATTTATAGTTAAGCCTTCAAATCTACCCATACTTTTTAGAAAAATAGGTAAGTATACAATTTAAGTCTTTACGTTTTAATACTTAATTATCTTTAAACTGGTTCTAAAATCTGGAAAAAATTTTAGGTTTTTCGCAATAAAATATGATAATAGAATTATATACTTTCTATTTGATCATTAATAGACCAGAGTAGGTGTAGGCATATCTAAAAACAACCTAAAGAAATTCGGCATCCTACAACACATCTCAACAAAATGCAAGTGTGGTACGGAACAAAACATGGAACATCTACTGAATTGCCAAAGCTGCCCATCTTCATGTACGAAAGAAGATCTCCTGCATGCAAATCCAAATGCTATTGAAGTAACAAGATTTTGGTCAAGGATAATTTAAACCTAAAACTAAAACAAACATCGAAATCTGACAACTATGTTACCATAAACTACAATAAATTCTATTCATATCTCTAATTATATTTGTTAACCAATTAATACATTTTTATATTTTATTATTTATATTTATATCCATATAGACTCAGAGTTGTATATATTTATTTTTTTTATTTTTATTTATCTAATTATGATTTATTACCATTTGTTTGTTTAACATCTAATTTGTGGTTGTATGATATGAAAAAAAAAAAAATTTGATCATTATAAAATATTAACTAACATTTAATCAAAATAAAAAATTAAAGAGGTCAGGGAAAGAAATACGATGAATCGAAGAAAACCCAAGGTAAATCGTCCACTTTAAACCAAGCTTAACTACCACTAACATCTATTGGCGTATTTTCATATATTTTGTTGTTGATTTTAAAATTTTTTTAAAAACTAAGTAATTTTATAATGTTATAAGAATTACATATAAGATATGAATTAATTATTATATTTTTATACAAATATTTATGTACAAATATTACAACCACATGAAGTAAATTAATGTTCTCTTTCTCTGTACCTTAGTAACAAATAATTTATGACTTCTAAACTTTTCTTTTTTCTGGGGGTCAGGACCCGGGCACCCCACTCACCCCAAAAATATGCCACTGATAATACCAATATATATTTATATGTGTGTATATCAGTGGCGTATACAGAAAATATTTTCGGGAGGGGCTACTATGGATAGAATTAAATTACCACTGCTATCTAAGAATTACTAACAAGACACAGGAGGTACTAATTTACATTTCATTTACAGAATGTCCCTAAATGATTTGACGTTGGACGCAAATTCTTAATAAGCATAAAGCACTATTAAACTATATCAAACGTTTAAAATAATTTTTAAGTTTTTTAAACATTTTGGGGGGAGGGGCTATAGCCCACTAGGCACCACCCCCTATATATGCCACTAGTGTATATATACATTCTAATAATAAAATTGTGGTGATAGTCTGCATCAGTTATAGACATATATTTATTATACTTAGGGCCGTTCTTACAATGTCCTGTAGTGCCCGTATAATAAGTATATAAATAGTATAAAATCTTTTTGAGTACATTTAATAGTATATACTTTAAATATTAAGTATATTGTAGAGGTAAATTTACAACAATCAAAAGCAATAGCTACCGCCTACCAGAGGTGTAGTGGAGGGTACAAGGGGGTACACAATGTGTACCCATTTCCATTTTTTCGGAATATGTGTATACTCAATAAAAAAAAACCAAGTCTGTGGGTTCACGGTCGTGTACATGCGTATAACCACTCTTTAGTTTCTTTATTTATTTTAAAAATATATTAACATTTGTCAATTTACAATTTTACACTGGTGTTTCGTGTAAATTGTATTATCTTCGTTATTCTTAATTCATCAAGTATTAAGTATTACTTGAAAATTATTTTGCAATAAGTGGAATTATTATATTTTATTTATTATATATTTTTATATATATATAATATTATTAATTATTATATATTTTATAAATTATAGTTGTTATAAATAAAAATGAAAATGTAAATTGTAATGTATGTGACATGGCTGTAACATTTTATCAAGCACAAAATTTAAACTAAATCATAATAGAGCATTGAGTTATATTACATTAAAAAAAGTGAAGCCCCTTACATCATATTTTTACTGTGGAAATTTTTTTTTTGACAGAATTTGGCATATATCCACTTATATTTTTAGCACTACATCACTGCTGCCTACTGTTAATTAAGTGAAACTGTTAAACTGTTACTTATCAATACCGGTGTAACATTTTTAAAGAGGAACACTCAAGTGGACAAAACTTACGTCTTTCTCTTCGCTATATTCCCTTAACAGATTAATCGCTTCTTTCTGACAGTCTTTTTCTCCAAAACTGCATGTGCATAAAAACCCTTTCCTGTCCGGCTGAAGTTTAAAACGATTGTCTTTGAAGTTAAACTTTTTAACGAACGACGAATTGAATTTTTTCGGACGAGACGACGCCATGGTGATCGAGTTTCGAAAAACAACGGTGAACAACCAAATGCTGTGAAAACCAAAATAACTTGGAAGATCAGTAACAACTACGAGTAACGTAAGAATATTATTAATAGTTTATAACGATTTAACGAGTGGAATGACTAAACAGAATAGCAACAGAAATGAATAGTTGTTAAATAAGTTCTACGAAAAACTGTAAATTGATAATAAATCTTACTGATAATAAAAACCGCGTTACTTTATTTTTTACTTATCACTCATTTCGTCTGTTCGTTAGACCCGATCTTTTTTATGTTTCTTAATGGTTATAAGCACCCGCAATTAAATAAGCATCCGTACAATTCAACAGTTACTAAAATATTTGGTAAATATATGAATATTTCTAAATTTAAATTGTTCACTTTGATTTTATATTTTTAATGTGCGTATAACGAATTACCTGTCGGTAAACACAAATGTTTCCTCATATGATCACTTTTAGATTCTGATTGAAGCGAAGGATATAATGGTTTTATAATGATATTTGTATCTAATTTTTTTTTTGACACTTTTTCGGATAGAAATACTGGTCTAAAAGTTTTTTCTAGGACAATTTTTAGATTTTAAATCTGCATGTGGTAGTACTTTAAATATGTAATTTTTTAAATCTTAAGTTTTCCCAGAAGTGAAAAAAAACTATATATAACAAATTTTATATATTTACACAATAAAAACTCTGTTTTTCTATACATAATGAGTAATGAGTATTTAAATGTAAATTAACATTTGGGGGTGCTTAGCACCCCCCCCCCCAAATTGCGCCTATGATTACTACTATGCTATTTGAAGCTGATTCAGGGAAAAAATAAATGAAATAATAAGTAGAGACCTTCAATTAATACAACAATATTTACAACTATTTAATTAACTGGCCAAGAAAATAAATACAAATAATAGTACCGAGCTTTTATAAAATATTTGCTGATATTGTAAATCTTTCACTTGAAATATTAAAAAAAAAATTTACATTAATGTTGGACTCTAATGATACAGTTTTGAGATAAAAAAATATTGTTAATCAACATTTATGATTTAAATTTCTTTATTCTATCTTATTTAGCTTAAATTAATTTATACATAATTTATTTGAATTATATTCTCTACCCCTTTTTCTTTCATTTTTGTATTATTTTTTTTATAAATAATTATATATTTTGGTATTTACTATTGTTATTGTCATAACTTTAGTAATTAAAATAATGATAATAGAAAATATATAATAACTTAATAACTTCTAGGTTTCTTTTAAATAAAAGCAAATTAAACTAAAAAAAAAACTTCTAGGTCCTCACTTGAGTTTTCTCAGTACTCATTGTATGAATTTCAAATACATAAATAATAAATAAATACATTTCTATAATTATATTTCTGAGTATTAATCTTAATGTTTAAAAATATGTAACCTAATTGTATTAGTTGTTATTATATTAATAATTTTACAAAAAAAACATTTTGGAAAAATTAACAAAAGAATAACTTTTTTAACAAGTAAACCCTATGCTGACACCTGTTTTTAAACTAATTTTGAATCCCTAAACTTCTATATACTATTAGTTTCAATTTTTAGTTACAACTAAGTAGTCGTAATAATTGGTTGTTATATTGGTAGTATATATATTTTATTATGTAACATAATAAAATACTTATTATATCAGCCATGCATTTTTAATTTTTATTATTATCTTGTTAATTGAAACAGTTGATCTAAAAAAAGATTTATAAAACAATTGATCTGAAACCAATATCAAATTTACATAGAAGGTTCATATTTTTTTTTTTTTTTAACAATTACAACTATTATCAATTAATATAAAAAAAATAAAACAATTTTTTTTTTGTGTTATTCTTGAAGTGATATTTTTATGTTTACAAAAAAAGATAAGAGTTAAAATATAATAAATAGTCTAAAATATTACAGATATAAACTTTTACAATATACCACTATTTTGATTACATTATAACAAATTTAAATATATATTACTTCAATAGTTTAACAATGACTAGAATAGTTAATAAAGCAAATCAGCTTGATAGGAAGTCTAGATAAATATCATTAAAATTAGATATAAATAACTATTAAAAATTAAACAATCATACATTATAATATACTTCTATTATTAAATTATATTAGTAAAACTCACAATTTTAGTTTTGTATCAAAACAATTTAACTTGCTATTAACCCCTTCGATACCACATTTTACGGTAGGTATGAAAAATAATTATAACTATATTATCTTATATATGTCTATATGTAATCAATATTTAATTAAATAATAATTAAAAGGAAATGTAGTGTTAATTTCACAAAAACAAATGAATATAATGTTAATTTGTAAAATAGATATTATGAGCTCAATATATTAAACACTCATTTATATATAAAAAAAACAAAAAAAAAACATTGTATTTACTAAGTTATAAAACATTTAAAAGTGACTATCAATTTAAATTGTTTTATTTTAGAATATAATTATAATAATATAATGCTAAAGGCCCTGGGAAGCAATTGTTACACTTTAAGAACACTTATTTTATAGTGGTATATATGATTAATTTGTTGTAGATTTACTTTCAAAATAACTTTGTTTAATTTAATATAACTTAATTAATATTTAATTATAATTACATACAGTGGTCACTTTAAGACTAGATAAAATTAGTTTATTCATAATATTAAAAATTGAATGAAAATTAATAAAAGTTTAAAATTTTCAATTACTAACATTATATATTGCATTATGTTAACCTATTATGTGATACTTTATACAGATGATTAACATTTATAAAGAAAACATTAAAAAAAAAAAAAAACTATTTTTTTGCTTTATTTGAAAAATTAATAGTAATTTAAGTATTATGTTCTTAATAAATTATCGTTAAATCAATTAGGTCAGCATTTGATTTCCAAAAGGTTAAAAATTGAACAAAAATTAATTCATAAATAACTAAAATAATTAATTTCCCTAGAACTATAATTATTATTGTGGGTAAATGTTTTTCATTAAACTAGAACTTTTTAAAAGAGTAAGCTAACATTTTATTTTTTTGTTAAAAAAAAAAAAATATTTAATTCAACTTAATACTACGTACACTAACAAGAATGTTATTTGTATGAAAATATTAGTTCTTTATTAATTAAATAAATCAATATTTATCGGGAATAAACTATGTGATAGAAATAACGGTTTTTTTTTTTAATGACGTGTAATTACAGTAAATTTCCTGTAATTTTTGTGAAATTATGTAGAACAAATTATTGAATTTTGATATTATATACCTTCATAAGTTTAAGTAAGATGTATTTAGTATTATTTTTAATTATAACATATACTACTATTTAGAACATTTATTTCAAATAATATGATCTTTATTCGGTAACCAAATATCTGGACCTCCATGTTCATCAATAACATTCTTTACTTTTTCAAAAATGTCTTCAAAAGAATCTCCTTTTACAATAGCTGAAAATATATATATTATTTAATTAAAGGACAAAAACATTAAAAGTTATTTAAATCTGTTACCTGTTAAATATTCACTATAATCTTGTTCTACTTTCATTTCTTGATCATAAATTTTCTTTGCACGATCTTCAGTCATTTTATCACTAATATTCCTAAATAACATTTAATATTATTTAGTTTTAAATAAATAAATAAACATTATATTGCTTACATTATAAAATCCAGAGAAGATGCCCTAATAAATATAGTAATAGGGTATAAGTTAGCAGCTTGTAAACGTTTAATTGCATTGGAACTCACATCAAGGATGCAATGTTTATTCTAAATAAAGTAAAATATTTATTTAAGTAACAAATGATAAAATGAATGAACGAAAATAAAAAGTTCAATTAAAATAATATAAAATATTTTTATCATACTTGTTCAGCAACTTCTTGAACTGAAGCTAAAGAAGTTCCATATAAATTGTCATTAAACTGACCAGCTTCTATAAATAAATGGTCTTTAATGTCACGTTCCATTTGTTCACGTGATTTTATGAAATGGTAATGGACACCATCAACTTCGCCATGACGAATTTCTCTTGAAGTGTCTAAATAATATCAACAATTTAATAATTTCCATAACTAATAAGACTGTGTAAATAAATTATAAGCATTACGAGGTACACATGATCCAAACTCTTCTGGATACTCAGATATTAGATGATCATTTATTTTGTCTTTGTAAATTCCAACTACAATTACAGGGCGACTATAATTAATCGTTTTCTTAATGACAGATTCATAGGGCAAAGTTGGTTCTTCTAAAAAAATATATAAAAAGTTTAATTTCTAAATAAATATTGTTTAAAAATATTATAAATATTATATAGTATAATATATAATATTTTTAATACTTAGTAGTACCTATATTACACATTATATAATACATGTTACACATTACAATTATCTATTCATATACCCAAAAAATAATACATATTTGTACAAAAAAGTTACACTGATGAAATTTTTTTTTTTTTTTTTAAAGTGAATAAATATTATGTAATGAAAAAAAATATTAAAATTATATGATGAATAATAAGTCTTATTAATAAAATACTTTAACCATAAGCATAAATAATGTTGACATTAATAAGGTAGATTAATTAAAAAAATTAATATTTAATATTTATATAAATGCACAAGTTACTTTCAATTTAAAAACACATTATAAATAAAACATATTTTGTAACACACTGATATTTGAAGTTATTTTAAACTTAAGTGTGTATTATAAGATCATTTAAGTAGCAATTGTTTTTTAATTTGATTAATTGTTTGTACGTAAATTATATTATTTATGAGAATAAAACATAAACTAATAACAAATATAAAAACTGTATGGACAATGAAAGTGGATAGTAATAAATACAAGGTTTCTAATGTGAATAAATTAGGTATTACGATTTATATGAAGGTAAATTATTGAATGCATGCTAACTTCTGTTATTATGCAAACAAACGGATGCTATTAGTTTAAAAAAGAAAGCATTTAATGATGAAAATTATAAAGTTTCATGCTATTAAATGAAAAAAAAAAATGTTTATGAAATATGGTTAAAAAATATGGAAAGAATGGAAGTATATACCTAATGAAATATCTCTTACCAACAAGTAGTTCAATTATGCTAATGCTGCTTAAATTAATACCTTCTGATGTTGGATCTTCATGAGTGTAACAAAGCATATAATCTGTAAACCCAATGTTTACCGTACATTATGTAAAAAAGGAAAAAGAGAAGAATTATTCAACCAGATTCAATGGGGAATCATCTTAAACCAGATTAGAATAAAATATCAAAATTACATAAAAAATACTTACGATCTTGATCAGTACCAGTACATTCCAATCTATCTGCTTTACTGCGCATAAATGGAAACATACGACTTAAGGCAAAATTTTTCTTTTTTTTTTCCAAAGTAGAAGTCTAAATGAAGTTTATTTTATTTAATAACTTTATTTGAACAAAATACTACGAAATTACTTTATCAATAAGAACAGGAACATGTCCTTGGAATTTAACCGTACGATCTCTTGACTTTTGTTTTCGTTCCCATCGCTTTTTGGAGGGTACAATACCAATACGATCTTCTTCACCAGCTGGAACTAATTTCTTAGCTTGCCACCATTCATCATCATTGGCATTAAGTATATGCAATATACTACCATATGTAAATGATATACCACGACTTGGAAGGCCATCATCACGATTTGGATCATAATCAAATAAAGCCCTATACATTTTTAATTATATTTTAATAAATAAATAATTTATATTTTTTAAGTATAAATATACATTTTTACATTTATACAAGGTACATAAAATATTGGTAACAACAAAATTTGTGAAACCACAATTAATTTTATACAAATTTATTGTATTATGGCAACTAGCACTGGGAATTATAAAATATGAATTGTTATACAGTTTATAAAAATAAATTTAAATATAATATAAAATATATTTTAATGATATTGAATTAAAATTTTTTTTTCAGATTTAGTTAGTTTATTATCAAAATTGGTAAACTACAAAGTTTGTTATAAGAAATTTAAGATATACTCACAAAATTGTATAGTGTTATTGAAAAGTTATGATTTTATTCAAAATTAATATTTTTAATTTTGTAAAAAAAATACCTGACAAACAACTGTAGTTTTTGAGAAGGTTTTGGTAAAGTATTTGAGGACATCATAGCTTTTTTCATAATTTGTTCTTTTAGCTCAGCTAATTTAATTTGAAGTTTATGGTATTCTTCTGGCCGTTGCTGAGCCACAATTGTGACAATTGGTCCATCTCCCTGGAATAATAATAACAAATCTACATTATAATAATTATAACTTTGGCTAAAAAACATACTTTTAAAGCAATTGCCGCATCATCATGTGTAGCATTTAACATGTCAATAGCATTTACACTTAAAATACGATCACCCGGTTCTAAAATGCCATTTTGATCTGCTGGGCTACCAGGAGCAATGTAAGAAATAAAAATACCTTCTTTATCCTCTCCTCCAACTATGTTAAATCCTAATCCTTCTTCAGACCTACGAATAGTTGCAACTTTTTCACGCCTAACAAAAATATATATATTTTTCATAAAAACTGTAATACTAGAAAAAAATTCTTAAAAAAAATGTTTATATACAATAATGATATTTTTTCACTGCTTGATTTTGATGAAACACTTGATTTAATTGGAATTTTTGGTTTTATATAACGCATGTTGAGAGATTCTTTTACTGGAAATAAAATATATGATTGCATATTATATTATTATAAAATAAAATACAAATAATCTATCATACCTATAACAAGTATTACAGTTTCACCAGTTTCTTTAAGTGCAGTAACTGCTTCTTCATGAGTAACATTTTCTAAATCCACATTTCCATTCTATAACATAGACATAAATTATTCATCAATTATTATAGTTTTGAGTAGTTATAATAAAAATTACCAGTGTATTTTTAACAGCTATTAATTTATCACCAACTTCCATGCGACCATCTTTGTGAGCTGCACCTCCTTCTAAAATTTTGGTAACATAAACTCCATTATCTCCTGGCAAGTGAACATTACCAACACCACCAGCAATTGTGAAACCTAAGCCTCCATCTTCCTTTTCTAATTCAATCTCAGTAACTGTATAAGATTTTTCCGGTTCAACAAATGCATCCTTCTTACGCCTCTTCACATGCTAACAGAAAAAAGTTAACGAATATTTTAAAAAAAATAAAGTTTTAAGTAATTGAATTCAAAACATACTAGGGTAACAATATCTCCAGCATTCTTAAGAGCAGATACAGCAAAACTATGTGGAACATGTTCTAATGATTGATCATTCACTTTTAAAATAATATCGTTAGCACGAAGACCGCTCGCACCAATATCTGGACTCACTCTAGTTACAAGAACCAAGGATTCTGAATCCACGCCCCCAGCAATACTGAAGCCAAGACCTCCAGAGCGACGTTCAACTGTTATTTTATCATATTCCCAATATTCAGTTTCATCATCCTAATAATTATACAAAAATAAATTAAATAAATGTTAAAGATAGTTTTCAGTTAGTATAAAACTAAATAATATGTACCAGTAATTATTAAATTATAATCAAATACATACTGTTTCAAGATTAGATTCTTGTTCTGTAGCATCACCACATGACTGACTACCATTGTGTCCACTTAATCCATTAATCTTAAAATATACAAATAATTATATAACTATCAACTTCATGATAATAAATTACTGTTTAAGAGTACATACTTGACAACTTATGTCAACTAATTCTTTTTTTTTGTAATCTCGATGACATTCTGTTTCCAATGGTTGAAAGCTAAGATCACTCTGTTATATAAATAATTAAAAATAAGCTCATATAGTACTATTTAAATTACATTTAAGATATAAACTATTTAAATTTCTAATTAATAGTTAAAAAGTTAAATATAAAAAAAAATTGAATAAAATAAATGTTCATTTATTATCAATCATATTGTATTATTTATCGATTTTTTTTTTTTTATTTAGAACTGTTATTTTTATAAATATGGGCTGATTGTTAAATAATAGCCTACTTAGGTCAATATTCAAATTAATTCAGTACAATAAAATATTTGGTTATAAACCATATTTCAATATTCGTACTCATGAAACATAGGTATTAATAATGCAAATTTCATGGGGAGAGAGGCCTCAAACCTTTCATTATATTGATAAAATAAAAATTCATTATTCTTTAATTTAAAAAAAAATATGTTGTTCAATTCACACAAATATATCAACATTGATATTATTCGAAAGATCTCTATAAATTAAATATATTAAATGCAAAAAAACGAACTAGGTTTTGGAGGACTTTGTTGACAAAGGTTTTGGGGGTCCAAAGCCTCCTTTATTTACGTTAAAGCTTTGAAACATTTTTTGGTTTCTAATGCATATTTTTAGTATATTTATACACATTTATATAGTATAAATACCTATCACATATTTAGTCTCTTCTCATGAAGAGAAGGACAATAAAAAATATGATCAAAATCATAAATAACTTGTTTGAAGTGATATTTTTAATTTACATCATAAAACAAGAAAATTGTATACAGTTTCAAAGGTAAAAATTAGACTTTATTATTATTTATTATGTTTATTGGCTTTATAATTAATGGTAATATTTTTATTTATTTTTTATATATATATATGTAAAATAATTAATTAGTTATATTCACCAAACCAACTTTAGCATCAAATTGATCCATAATATATTTCTGTGCAATAGATATATCTTCATCTGTGACTGAATGACTTTCATCTTGAAGGGCCAATTCATAAAATTCTTGTATGTCTAAAATGTAATAGTGATTACTTAACCTAAGTTTTATACTTAAAATTCTTTACATAAAATCAAATACTTTAAAAAAAAAAAAATTTTAAACGATTTCTTGATACATTATAAAAACATTTTAAAAAAGATATTAGTTTATGTTAATTTTGTTAAAAAGGAATTTAATCCTTTTCAATTCCTGGGTTAAAGAAAATAACTAGTTTCTTTTCTCATTCCTAAATAGAGTCCTCAATAATTTTAAAATATTGTTAATATAATTTATAGTTGAATTTGTTTTCCAGCCTCTAAAGATTTTACACCAATAAGATTGCTGAGACTGACTTGACATTTTGTAAGTATTATTAATATTATAGTACATAGGTTGAATTTTATAATTTTTTATATACAAACAACTTTATTTAAAAAAAAAAATAATAAAACAAGTTGCCTATATTTTGGGTGTTCAATTCCAATATGTTCCTTCATGTGTTAAAAAAATTATGTTTCTGATTAATTACTGAAAAATGAATAAAAGGAACCAGTTTCTTTGAATGTATTCTTTCCAAGCACCGAATAAAACTATTTACAGGTTCAATTTTTAAAAAAGGAATACATTATGAAATATTTAAATAATATAGAAATAACTAATTTTGTTTTGTTATGATAATATAAATAGAAATAAGCAACTTTTGAAATACAATATAATGGATAAAGTTATAACAATAAAATTAGTTATATTATTGATAAAAATATGTTATATAATAGAGAGAAAATTACCAACGAGGGCCTGAAACAGTCTGGACTTGAATACACCAATAACTAGTTGCATGACAACTTGAAGATCATTGTCAGGTACACTGGAAAGTTTTGCATGGTAGTCTTCAAGGAGGGCTAGAGCCCTAAGGGTTTCTGGAAAAATAAAAATATGAATTTAATATTTGATGATATATGACGTGTTTCATAGTTTGAGAAGAGATAGAAAGAGAAAAGGAAAATCATAAGCCGAGGCGCTAATGTATCAATGTTACCTGCTTTTTCACATTAAAAGTATCTGATGGACAATGCTTACCGTCTTGTTTGCAGGCTGGCATTTTCGGTGAGGACGGTGCGCCCTAAGACTGCTGTGGAAAACGAGTTACAGATAAGACTCAGCAGACTGTTTCAAGTTTTCAGCGAGGTTAACGACGTAGTAAAGGCAGACGATTGTCAAAAAAATAAACAAAAGGGGGCACACGCACACTCTGCCTGATATATATATATATATATATATGTACACAATGATGTGTTGCTAGCGATGGCTTTGGATGCGGAAAAATCGATCGTGTCAGCTGTAGGACCGTTTGTGGGTCATGGCGTCTCTTGCTGAAAGTGTATTACTAAATTATTTTACAGGATTAAAATATGTTTTTAATCACGTTCAACTATATTTCTCGTCGTGATGAGCGCGCGCTCAATCAATTTAATTCGCACCCACTCATCAGGAAAACGAGTACATATAAGACGGACGAGTAATACCGACAAATGCTGAACTGCAGCAGGAACGTCGCGGAGGACGAACTAAATATAAAAATAAATAAATAAATAATAATAATAATAATAATAATAATAGAATTAATGCCGAAAACAGAATGGGCGGGGGATATATCTCTATTATGACCTCAGCCCAGAGTGGCGATACGCTCGTACGCACGTCTCGTTTGTTTGCGGAAAAACGCGAAACGTATGTGCGGAGGGTGTGAAGGAAGGAAACGAGTCTCTAGAAATTGAGTACGGTTAAAAATACACTTTTGTTACTCCGTTGCGGAGGACGACGTACGATCTGCGAGCCCAATTGGAATATTGACTAGGAAAAAAAGAATACGGTTCTGCCTTCTGCGGTCATATTGGGCGGTCCAACAGCTGGTGTCGTCGTCGGCGGCGGCGGCGGTCGAAACGCGGCGTTACGAAAACGAAATTTCTACCGCAGTCCTAATCGTGCAAAAAATGATAACCTTATCACGTTCGAAGACGAATTCTGAACACCACGCCGGCACGTTTATTCTGTAAAAGAGTACCTATCTGTTCGTTCGGTCCATACGCGTCGCCTCCGCTGAATTGAATTCATATAAATAACTCATCCCGATACAGTAAATCTTTAGATTTTCGTGGTATACGCGACGCATCGCCGACTACGTGTTTTGGTCTTTCTCTAGTTGAAATCCATTGCAAACATAACATGTTTATCGAACAAGCGAAATCCAACGAGATACCCAAAGGTGCCATACGTCTTACCAAAGACGAAGTATACGAGTACATGACCGATTTAATAAAGAAATGGCCGAACTCAATGGAAATGTCAGTAGTACAATAGGTCATCTGCATTATGAACAAAAAAAAATTCCTGTTATTTGAAAACTTCATTTTTTTTTTAGATGGGCGCTCAAACATGGTAATCCAATCCTGTCATCGGCTGTAGTCATTACAAACACGTTGATATTAAATTATTATCGCCAAAGATTGAAACTTAGGAATTATGGTCGTTTTACATTGTTCTTGCCGGTGGTTGTAATCCCTTCAATTTTTAGTTTATTATTTCAAAATTCAGTATGTACATATTTTACTGTAACAAAAATGTTTAATAATTGCCATTTAATAATGTACAGATAACAACTAGATCAATTGTTTTACTTGAAGATTGCCCTACTTGTATTTATACACAATCAATGTTCATACAAATGGGAACAGGATTAGTTTACCCATTGATGGGTGCAATTGGTGGAACATATATGGTAAATATATTTCAATTAAATGTTGCATCTTTTATTATTTTTATTAAGCATTTATTCTAAATAAGAATTTTTTTTCCATTTATACTTCCAGTTTGCTGTCAAAATGGATACTATTAATTTTAAATCAAATGGATCCCAAATGATAAAAGAACTTACTACACATGTAATGAAAAATAGTCGTCCTTTTTATAATCGACTAACTGTATTCGTTATTGGTCACTTATTATTAAGTTATACAATAACCCATTATCAAATAAAAAATTTTGAATTTTTAAGGTTTAAAATGATGGAACAACAGAAAGAAGAAATAGAATCATTTGAAAAAAGTAAACAAATGAGAAATAAGCAACTAAGTAATTGATTTATTTATTTTTCATTAGAATTATTGTAGATATTTTACATATATATATATATATATATATATTTTAGTTGTAAAACATTTTTACCCTTTAATATTTTATATTATTAGGGTAATCAATTACAGTAACTGCGACATAATTTCTATTCATAAAACTGTAATATTTTGTTTACAATAAAATTTTTTAGAATTACCAAGATATTATTATTTTAGATAATAAATAACAAAAAAGCATTGATATAATTATTTATAAATTAATGATATTAATTTAAAAATAAGCATGGAATAATAAAATACTTTGTAAGGTATGTGAGATAATTTTTTAATATATATAGATCAACTACAAAACGTTACATTATCTTAAGAAAATTGTATGCCTTGAGCTCTTGATGAAAATTTAGCTTAAACATTTCATTTTAAAAATATATAAATAAGTCAATTGCCAATATCAGAAAAAATTGAATGACAAGTGTATAAATACAAACAATTTATCTTTGATGTTGGAATAACTGAACACATAATCAGGTTGTACAATAATGTTTGTAGAAAACAACTTATTTAAATTATATCCAAGTTAATAAGCTTGGCTTTGAAAACAATTGTGATCAGTAATCATTTAAAACAATTATAAATATTTATATACACATATATGTATATATAAACATATTTAATTAAAAAATATATATAATAACTAATATATTATTTAAGTTTAAATATTCAAAATACTAACCCTAGGTACAAAAAAGGATTTTGATTGTTTATATATTTAATGAATTCTTATGGAAAATTAGAATTTTTACAATAAAAATATTTAATTTCATATTATTAACTTATTTCTACATACACATAATGGCTTCTTTTTTAATTTCAAGTAAATATAATTAATATTTTTATACCAAGTTTCTTTTTTTTTTTTATTAAATAATATCTTAATACATTTTTTTTAAGAGAATTTAATTTTAAGTTATAGTTGGAAAAATTTTAAGCACTTCTGGTATGAACTTTAAATGTATAAATAAGTAAACCCCTAACCTTTTTATTAAATCAAATATTACATAAAACCATCACATATGAAGAAATTGGTATTTTATTTAAAATCATATAATTACCTATTATTTTTATTATTATTATTATTATTATTATTATTGTTCACCTATTAGGTATTGATTATTATATTTAATATCGGTCATCTGAGTTTCTATTCAATTGAATAATTATAATAAATAGGTGATGTTTGCTGGAAATACATTGAATGGGATAAGGGATATGAGTGTATTGAAGACACACTTGGGTGCTTAAAAATCGGCAGTGTTGGTGTAAATATTTGGGGGGCCACTGCATTTTGTTGGCCCCAAAGATGCCGCTAGCAACGAAGAGTTTGCAAATGATTCATATAATCTTGGAAACTGACCGAAACCGTTTCACTTTGGTAACGAATCAATTTTAAAGATTGACGAATTTCAGTTGTCACATGACCTCGGTAACCTCCTTTGCGCAGGAGTGAATCAATAGTTTGTATTTTGTCCCAACCTATAAATATCCATTTATTTGATTAAAGGGAAAATGTATTAATTTAAAAATACTTAAATATTTTATTAAGAATGAATAAAATTGATACATTAGCAGTTTTCATACCTTGTTCTTCAGCTACTTTTGGTAAATAAGTAGCACTGCGTTTCATTCCACGTTCATTTTGAAATTCAATGCGTATACCGTGAACGCCGATTTCCCAATCGTTGTAATCTTTGCCGTCCTCGAAGTGTAACAATATCGATATGGTTACATGTAACCGGTTCAATTCGTCGTTTGAAATTGGTTTGAAGCGTGAATCTCTTGTTGCACTTTAAAAAAAAAAAGTTATATAACAAAATTAAAATTATTAATAATATTGACTTAAATAACTAAAAGAAAAATGTGTTCAAAAATAAATATAGGAATATATTATTATACATATTATGTATTTTATTTATAATAGTCAGGCCTGTTAGATATTTTCCGCTTTAAAGCAAAAATTGTATTGCCATTCTTTAGTAAAGGCATTACAATATCAAATTATAATATGCTGTAATCTTTCGCAGTTACAGAGAGCTAGTCAAAATAATACGATAATAGTGGAGAAGCATTACAATAATTATTCTTGTCTGTTGTTGATATTTATCAAATTTTCAATTTCTGTAAAATTGACCACCCTATAGCAAGCATGTACTAAGCACTTGCAAGAGCAAGAGGTTTGATAATAGTATTGTAAAATTATAAAAATTCAAGCCAAATATATAATAATAGAAAATAATTTAACTTCTAGTTTCAACAAAGTTATTTTTTTCTTATATAAAAATTAATCAAAAAAACTTATTAAAAACAAATAAAAATATTTAAAAAACATAGAAAGTCTCTATTTTACTAAAAATATAAAAAGTGAAACTTTAATGAATACATTATTTACCTTGTTATGGCATATTCGCGTAAGCCATTGTGCAAAGCAATCGAACTGAATGTGCCGATACATCCCCTGAGCTTCTTGTCCATGCCGGTCTCCCATGTTACGAAGAGAGGACTGTAATAAAAACAATACTATTTTATAAAAACTATATTACCTCGTAACAGAGCCCCTACTACTATAAAATGTAATTTAAGAGGAAAACCAATAGTGATGAGGAACAATAGATCTATACATTTTAATAACAGGGTATGAATACAGGTGGCAAGGTCAAATTAGCTATAACAGTTGCAAGTGAGTATTACCCAATGTTTTTCCTCTTATAGAGTAAACTCTACGGTTCAATATTACCTTTTCCATTGAACTTACAACGGGTCGTTTGTGAAATCAGGTTTCTTTGGCGGTTCTAGACTGTTCAGATAGGAGTAGAGTATGTCAAAACAAAAGTATCCCATGGCTGGGGTTGTAATCCTTTGAACGACACCGTCATATGGAGCTGTTGATGCACTACCACTGCCGCCGTTGACGTCTAACGGCCCCTGATGATGATGGTACAGCTTTTGTTTCTTGGTATTGGTTCCGCAACAACCGGACGACATTTTCGACGAGTACAAATGGCGATTGTTAACACGTAAAATACTAATTATTTACAACTAGGTAACGTATAAAACGATTTCGATTACAGTACTGAATTGTTGAAAATACAATTTTAAATGATGACAAAATAAAACAAACTAATAAGTTTCTAACGTTGAAACTAAAAAAAATTAAAAAAAAAAAAAAATCGAAGGAAGAAAAGATGTTATTGTTACTGGAAATGAAATATAGGACTAGATTTTATCACAAAGGAAAACAGCTGACTTAACGTTCGATCCTGGTTTGGAGTATACGTTTTCAAAATGTATACAAATTGGCGCGGTATTGCGAATGAGTAGACAATTGCATAATCTCATGGCAACACTGCACAATTGTACTATATCATCACAGAACAATGTTGAAGCGACACTCGATCAACTGATCGGGTTACTGTAGCCCTGCAGTATGAAGTATTGGACAAAAATAGTCGAACTGAATTATATTATTTTGTGACCTAACCCTGCAGTATGAAGTATTGGACAAAAAAAGTCGAACCGAATTATATTATTCTGTGACCTAATCCGTAATCTGATAAGATATTGGTAACGTGATCCCTATTTGTTATGATATGAAAAACTGAAAAAATTTTCATGTGAATAATAAATATAAATATTTATCTATGGGTATTATTGTTTTTGTCTTATTACCTATACAATTATACATAGACCTATTAGTAATTATTTATTAATAGATCTACGCAATTATATTTTGTTCCGTGATATGAGTTATTTAAGAGATAACTTCTGCCGCGCCCCTTTGAAGACAGTGTTCAAGGCCATAGTCGGTAATACACCAAGTGTCTTTGCCCTGTTATCGTGAACTGAAGTTCTCTTATCTATTTTGTTTTTGTCTTCACGATTTCCTTGGCTTGTTGGTTTTTATTGTTTTTGTTCATATCTAATACGCATTCGTCCTTGCGCTATAACATATAACGATATTTCGTCAAGAAAAATATATTGCTGGCAGTCAGTGCTGTTGTTACGCACGCAACAGTGCTATATATGTGATTAGTCAGAAATTTACCATTAGTCACAGCTCACTTCCTTGTTGCAACTGGTGCAATTTGTTTCAACAACTACTTCTATTTCATATTAAAATGCTCAAAGTTTACAATAAAATAAATCATAGGCAATTAAAATCCCTAGAGGAATACAGGACTATCCAAAAAGCTAGAAGGTACGTCTTATTACTGTTTTACAAATATTTTCAGTGGTAAACATTAACACTATAGCTCATTGTTTATTTCTTCTAATATATTATACCCATTTAATTAATTTTGCATAATCACCATTTGAACTTTGAAGGTATGTAGGTTTATAATATAATAAGTTGTTTAGGCAATAAGCAGACAATAGTGTGAAAAAACGGCCTTTTGATCTGAACTGTTTCAGGTATAATATTAATAAAGGATGATGATATTCTAATAACAAGAGAGATTTAAACAGAAAATATTGTCATACAAAAATCCATGGAGATAATTATTAAATAAAAGTTTAATAATATGTTGGTCTCATTAATCTATGTAAATTACATTGATAAAAAACAATTATGCTTGAATTGTTTTTTAAAAGTATTCAAAATACCTAATTTATCTGCTTAAATGGTTGATAAACTGAATTATTAGTTAAAAAAAAATGTTCCTTACTATTTATTTAAAATTAAAATTAATGTATTAGCTGTTTTGATATTAATTTTTATTATTGATTATTTGATTGCATTTAATTTAAAAAATATACATTGATTTAATTTCTCATGTAGTAATTTAAGAATTTTAATTTTAATTTAAAATATATTAGTGTTAAAAATGTTAATAGACTATTTTAATAATAACAATTATCTAATTTGTGTCCTTTGTGCTCTCTATAAAATGGTTTTTATTAATGAATCATTAAATTATTTTTTATTTTTACTAAAAATAGAACAACAATGCCAATTAAATAAAACTAACGTAAGAATCAGGAAGTGAAATACAAATTTTATTATGATATACATGCCAACTATTATCAATTATTTAAAATTAATTACTTCAATATTATTAGATTAATTAATAAATATTAAATCAGTTTATAGTATTTATATTATAATTTTTTCTATTTATTTAAATTTCATCATAGTGTACTTTTTTTAAATCCTGTTTATTCATTTTATATTCTATTATATTGTAAAATATTGTTTATTGAATTTACACATTTGTTAAGAAATACTGACAATAAAATGTGGGTACTACCAATTTCAACTATAGATTGTGATTTTTATGATACCAATAGATATACCTCAGAAATTATATTAATTAATTAAAATAGCATAATATTAAATTATTTTTAAAATATTCAAAACTCTAGTTAAACTTTCATAAAAAATTTAATTTTAACTTTGTTAAATATCTATGAAAGTTTTAATAAAATAAATACTTCAATAAACAATTGAAAAGCTTAGTATTAAAATATTTAAATTATATTTTTAATATATGAATATTATTTAATTTACATAAATTTAATTACCTTTGTGTGCAATTTTAATAGTAATACAGAAAAAAATGATTAATTACATTTTTGTTTGAAGAACATTATATGTTTAAATCAAGATTTTATCTTGGAATAGTCAATTTATATTATCAAACATTTTAAATTTGCTGACCTCTTCTTTTTATTTTCATCATTACCATTTGAATTAAACCTTATATTATTGTGTATTATATTGAATATATTGTATTATTAAATAAGAGATTTATAAATTATGTTTTCCTTTATACCTAATAGTCCTAAGCTGTTCTACTTAATAAAATATACATATTTTTAAATAGATGGCTGTCGACAACTACTTCAAATTTGGCAGCAGAATCAAAAAAAGATCTCAAAACATCAAAATCGTTTACAATGAATTTATTCCATGGTCAATTACAAACTTCACAAGTTTTCCCGTATCCTGATGTATTAAATGATGAGCAAACTGAAACATTAACTAGTCTTGTTGATCCTGTGACAAAGTTTTTCAAAGTATGTAACCAATTTTATTTTTAATGAGTATATTTTATAGTTCTACAACTAAATATATAAAATTATTTAAAGGAAGTCAACAATCCTCTTAAGAACGATGAATTGGAAACTGTAGAACCAAAGACCCTTGAAGGTTTATGGGATATGGGTACTTTCTCTTTACAAGTACCTCAAGATCTTGGTGGCTTGGGTCTCAGTAATACTCAATATGCTAGAATGGTAGAAATTGTTGGTGCTCATGATTTGGCTGTAGGTATTGTTTTAGGAGCACATCAGTCTATTGGATTCAAAGTAAGAATACAGTCTACTAGTAGTATACATTTTTATTACTTTTTTTATTAAGTGTAGAAATGGTATTAGTATGATTTAGTTACTAATTTTTAATATTTGAGTATATACAAAAATCGCTCATTCTTTTCAACGATGTCACGTCTCAAAAAGCTCGATTTTCAGGAGAATGATTTTAAAGTTAAAAAATAGAATAAAATTGTTTAAAATATGTTTAAAACACCAATTGAAAAGTATGTGAGACATCCTTTTTAGATAAGATATAGGGTTTGGTTCCTTTTTACAGAAGAATATTTTATACAAATATAAAATTAAAACAGTCCATTTTTGAGATATGATGTTGTTGAAAGAAGTGAGTGATATATTCTGTACTTATATATTTTAATTTTATTTTAAAAAGTTGCTATTCACAAATATTTGGTATACCAAAAAAAAAAAAAAATGATTTCATACAATAACATAATAAATAACAATATCAATGTTCTATGAAATAATTGTTTACTATCTTAATTTTTAAAATATAAGGCTTTTACATTCCTTGGTTTTACCTGGAGTATTGTCTAATGGTATTTCCAGGTAGCAAGTTTACTGCAAGTTTTAACAACAAAATATGCTTTTATATCCCCATTTCCCCATGTGTGAGTTTTAAAAATACAAATGAATAATAAAGTAATATTTTATTAATGCAACTTAATTTTATTTACAATAATATGATTTTATATATATATATATATATGTAATAGAGTTAAGTTGATTAATAATTTATTTACAGATTTGGATTTTAGTACTTTAATTAAATTTATTAGTTTATAACTGTTATTTTTTATTATTGTTTAGTATAAAAATATTGTTATTTACTGATAGATAATAATTTAATTAGCAAATTAATCAAAGCTTACTAATGTAAAATAATATTTTTTTCTGTCACAAAGTAATTAATACATAATTAGACTGAGAATGATTCATATAAATTATATCATGTTTGTTGTTACTATAAATGTTCTATTGCATTAGTTCTTATATTGATTATTTATTGTGTCTATATATATTATCTTACTAACCCTTGTCTTTTCTTTCTAAAATTTAAAGTTGAACATCATCTTACATTCTTTATGAATCAGTCCCTCAACTCTCTCTTGAATTTATTAGCTACTCTAATGTTATCTTCAATTCCATCCAACCTTATAGTTTTTGGTCTTTTTCTCCTTCTCTTTTCATCTACATTAATTTTCATAAAATTTCATAGTGCATTGTAAATACCCTCATAAGTATATACTTTAAAATAAATAAATAAATATATATTTCATCCTAATTTTTATAACATTTAATTATATAGGTTATATTCAAATTGAATAATAAATTTGTTTAAGTTTAATGATTAAATTTGATAATTATATTAAGTATATTTCTCTGTGTATATTAAAATAATATTTTGAAAGAATTAAAAAATATTCTTGAATCTTAGTTTAAGCTAAATTTTAAGTTCAGACCAACACATTTACAAGATAATTTTCCAGTTATATTATAATAATCATGTTAACTATTAATATTTACTATATTTCTTTATAAAATATATTGAACAATTTAAGTTTAATTTTAGAATTTATTAATTTTCCTCTTTTATTTATTTTACAATATAAAATATGTAGCATAACTTAAAAGTTATTTATGAGTTTGATAAAAATTTAATTTTGGAATTTCATGCAAAAATTCAATGTACATTATTTTAAGAGTTTTATTTAAAAACATGAGTATTATTTTAATAATTTAATTAAAAACTATATGAATATGATTTTTGAATTATTTTAAAAAATTGTGAAGTATACAAATGTATTGAAACATAATCTTCATAATGGTTTTACGATAATAATAATCCATGTTCAAATTATAAGTATAAATTACAATTAGTATAAAAAAAAGAAAAATAGATAATATTTTTCTATTATAAAATAAATTTAAATGTTAGCTCTTACTATAAGATAAAATCATTTTTACTATGCTATAAAAATGAATTTGAATGTTATTTTTTAACTGTTCACAGGGAATATTATTATTTGGAACACCTGAACAAAAAGCTAAATATTTACCAAGAGTATCTAATAAAGAGTTTGCCGCATTTTGTCTGACTGAACCATCGTCTGGCAGTGATGCTGGTTCAATTAAGTATGATGCTTAAAAAGTGTTATTTTTATTAATATATTATATTTTCAATTTAAAAATATTTCAATTTTAGAACTCGTGCAGTCTTATCTCCTGATGGTAAACACTTTATACTTAATGGCAACAAAATATGGATTAGTAATGGAGGAATGGCTGAAATAATGACAGTATTTGCTCAAACACCAGTGACTGATGAGAAGACTGGTAAAACAGTTGATAAAGTGACTGCCTTTATTGTTGAACGAGCATTTGGAGGCGTAACCAACAGTCCTCCAGAAAAAAAAATGGGTATCAAAGCTTCAAACACAGCCGAAGTAAATTATGAGGATGTCAAAGTACCGATTGAAAATGTTTTGGGTGGAATTGGCCAAGGATTTAAAGTAGCCATGAATATATTAAACAATGGACGTTTTGGTATGGCAGCTGCTTTATCTGGAACAATGAGAACAATTACGACAAAAGCTGTGGAGCATGCTACTAGTAGAGTACAGTTTGGTAAACATTTAGATACTTTTGGAAGTATACAAGAGAAACTTGCTCGCATGGCTATGGTACATTATGTGACTGAGAGTATGGCTTACATGATATCAGGTAACATGGATTCTGGATCTGTTGATTATCATTTAGAAGCAGCGATTTCTAAGGTATTTGGAAAATAATTATTTTTAAAATATACAAATTACATTATGATTTGTCAATAGTGTTATGCATCTGAATCTGCCTGGTATGTATGTGATGAAGCTATTCAAATACTCGGAGGAATGGGCTACATGAAGGGTACTGGTCTAGAAAAAGTAATGCGTGACTTAAGAATATTCAGAATATTTGAAGGCACAAATGACATTTTAAGGCTTTTTGTGGCTTTAACTGGTATCCAATTTGCGGGTAATCATCTGAAAGAATTACAAAAAGCGTTTAAAAATCCAACAGCAAATTTGGGATTAATACTTGGAGAAGTCTCAAAACGAGCTTTGTCATCAGTTGGACTCAGTTCAGCTCCTTCTCTAACTCACTTGGTACATCCAAAATTATCAAATGCTGCCAATCTTGCTAATCAAGTGAGTAGATTCACCATTGTTTTTTCTTGAGAAAATAAATACTATTTCAAATTTTTGGTTATTATTATTTTTAGAGTATTGGCCAATTTGGACCAGCAATAGAATCATTATTAATCAAATATGGTAAAGGTATTCTTGATGAGCAATTCCTTTTGAATAGAATAGCCCAAGCAGCTATTGATACATATACTATGACTGTTGTGCTTTCTCGTGCAACAAGAGCACTTAACTTAGGTCTGCCGTCAGCTGAATATGAAGCACTACTAACTCAAGTCTACTGTTCTGAGGTTTGTTTTGCATGCAATCTAATAAATAAAAATATATTTCCTTTAAATAGTGTGTATGTGTGTGTATGTGTGTGTGTATTTAATGTGTATATACTTGTTTTTTTTTTAGGGTCTTGAATAATTATTATGAAATAAATAAACTCTATTTAAGATTAATTGAAAAAAGAATAGAAATTTAATGATTTAATCTTAATGTTCAAATAATTTTGGTACCCTAAACAAAAATTATTAAAATAATAATTCTTAACATATAATTTAATTTTTCATTCATTAATTTCAAATCTGTACATTTTAAATATCTCTTTTTTTTGTTAAATAAATGTACATGTTTTATTCATATCGCGTTATTGCCCGTTTTCCTAAATGGACAACGTTTATATTCATTTCACGAAATGGAACCGCGATTTTTCCACTTCACATAATTAAGCAATGTGGATAACATTTCGCAAACAGACAAACATAGACAATGAAACTTTTCTGTCATTTAGATGCTCAAATAGCTAAACAATAAATTTTACTTTTTTTTTTTACTTTTTTAAATAAATTTCTTGTTCGCTATTTATCTAACATTTTTTTTTAAATATACTTAAATTATATTCCTAATAGCTTAACACATTATTTAATGAATTTAAAGATTATATTAACACTATATTAAGACTATATTTAATTTAGTAAAAAATTAATAATTAAAAAAAAATTTTTTACATTTTCTAACAACAAACACCATTATAAATACAAAAACTATAATATTATTATAAATAACACCATTTTTCATATATAATAAAATTATTATAGTAATAAAATAATTTTAATTAAAAGTCCATAAGTTATAGTAATAATTAACAGTATATTTACTTAATTTCCTCATCGTTTCTGTTCTTTCTTTTGCTAATTTAGATTTTCTTTTCAATCATGTGATGAATGTCAAATTTTTCAAATAAATAATATTCACGCCAAATTTACTTATTTCTAAGTATTTATTCATTTATTTTATTAATTAATTAATTTATTTATTTTTTTAATTTTTTTATTTATTTATTTTCATTTATTTAATAGTATTCATTCAAAATTAGGTATTCAAATAAGTTAGTATTGAAATTATGAAATTACTTATTAGATTATGCTTGTAGTATTTCAATAATTATGCCATTAATTTTGTTGGTGGTATGTAGTTTTTATTGGTTACAAATCAAGTTTCGTATAAAATTGATTTTTCACGTCAAACGACATATTTTCTTTGAAATTTATAAGTAAAATTTAATTATATGCAAAAAAAAATGTACACAACATTGTTCGCTCATCGGTGTTCTGATCCCAAAGTTAAAAAATGTAATGTACAGGTGAATATAATCTATACTCATAAATCGATTATTATGATTTTACATATAAATAAATAAACAGAGAGTTTATATATAGAAATAAATAAAAGCTTAGCTTGAAGTTTTATTATATTTTTAAAATTCCTGTTTCTAATTAAAAATTCATCATTAGGTATATACAGTGGCGTAGTTACGGTGTGGGTGTAAAGGGTTTCTTTCTCCCCCCACGTACACAGATTTTTTTTTTTTAATGATATTTGATTATTATTTATTAATATTTACATATTATAGTGAAATATTTTGATTTTACTATGATTAGGTATATATTAAAAATTGAGTAACAAAATAATTTTCATTAAATACGGGACATAATAATAATACTATTTTAAATGTAATATTATTTCATATGACCTCGTTTTAAGATATACTAAGATCACTTAAAAACTTACTCTTAAACACTCCCCCCCGCAGAAAAAAAATGGATCTACCCTACTAGATATATACAAAGTTAATATAATTGCGCCTCAATTACTCTACAAGTATTAGTGATGCACAACAATATTTTTTCCGTTATCGATATCGGTTCATTAATATCGATATCATATCGTGATATTGACAAACGATAGGTATATCGATATAATTTATTAATTTATAATAATTTATAGACTTAAAAAGAATTAATTGACAGGTTTTTTTTTTTGGAATTAATGTTTCTTACTTTAAAAAAGGAGAAATAAAAAGTATAAAAAAAATTTTCATATTATATTATTATAAACAAAAATAAAACTAAAATTACAGATACATTATTTATTTTTCTTCTAGGTACTTCCGACTATTGTGTAATTGCTTCCTGAAAATATGCATACATTTAAAATTATTAAGTATTTAACAATTAATTATTTTATGAGTATATGTCACTACGACCTTCATAGATATCGATATCGGAATACGACATCATTGTGCATTAACTAGTATTAATAAGTAAATAATTTTTAATTCTTATGATTTTACATAAAATATATAATATTTCATCATTAACTTATTTATCATAAAACAGAAAACTTTTTTCGCTATTTAGACCTCTAAATGACAAAACAAGTTCCATCGTCTTTAGTGAAATGTTATCCATATCGTGTGATTATGGGAAGTGGATAAATCATGGTTCCATTTAGTGAAATGGATATAAACGTTGTCCATTTCGCAAAACGGTCATTAATGCAATTTGGATGCGACACATTAATAATGTTAATTATTTGTATTACCTAAATTTACTCAAATTTTGGAATATCAACTAATTTTAGACTTAATTATTTTTTACAGTGTTTGAAATTTAAAATAAATAAATAATTTAAAAAAAATTAAATAAAAAATAAATTAATAATATAAACAAAATATTGTACAATATGATAAATAAAGGCTTTCATATATAAAGTTGATTAAGTTTTGACTATTACACAAGTCCTAAATTGGCTTACATTATATGATCTAAGTTCAAGAAATTGGTATAGTATCATTAAGAGTGTGATTTACAAATATGTACAATTATATATATATATAAATATTTATTCAAAAATCTAATTAATTTAATTTTTTTTTTAGGCCAGTGATAGAGTAACAAATAATTTGATGCAACTAAAATCTGCTAAGCACTTGGACAACTTTTCAAAAATGAGTAATATTGCTAAACAAATATGTGAACATGGTGGGTTAGTTCAACCCAATCCTCTTAACTTGTAATTTTTCCATGTTGAGTATTTTGTTCAAATGTTATTAAATTGTATAATTGTATAAAGATGAAATCCCTTGTAATCAGAGTAAGGTATGATTCATATTTTTATTGGCAAATAAAATCATTTCTTAACTATATATGTATGTTTTCAATTAGTGTCAAAATAAAACTATCAATTTTGTTATTTTTAACTTTATTATTGTAATTTTTTTAAATTATTGTTTTGTCATATATTTTTAAATGTGGTTAGATTTTTATTCAAAATTGTTATCAAGTATATTTCTACTGTTTACTGTTCTTATGTCATTAACAATGTATACTATCCGACTGGTGCAAAATATTTGGTTTTAATTTGTTATTAATTATTATATTTTCCAATGTTGATAAATATATATACTGATTGTGATATTAAAAATTTTGTTTATTCTGTATGTATTTATACTTAATATTTATTTTAGTGGTAGCCGGTAAAATAGTAAAATGATTGTGTAAATAAATATGTGTATATAAAACAACAAATTCGTGTTAATTATAAATGCATAAATATTTTATATTAAATTCATATGTTGATAAAAAATCCCTTTTAAATCTAATGTTATTTTCTAAAATTTCTTAATTTATAATCAATAGATTTGACATTAATTATATGTATTAATTAAAAAATTACACTGTAGAAATGATTATTTTTAAACATTTAATTTTTTTTTGTACATTTCTAATTGTAATTATTTTTGCTTATTGTCAGTGTTTTGGAATATTTTAAAATTGAGGTTTTTATGGTATTTATTAGTTTAAATTTTCATTGGTTACAAAAGATTATTACAGTAAAACATGCTTTCAAGTGACCTGCTTAAAAGAAGGAAATTAAAGAAATGCCAAAACGATGAGTTATTCTTTGATTTAGTTTTTTTTTTCTGCACATCATTCATCATATTTTTCAAATTCCGCAGTTAATTGGATATTTATTACACTACGTTTTGTTCAACTTGTATCTCCTAGTTATCATCACAACAGAATGAATCTATATTTACTTGTCAACAAACTAAATAACTGACAATTATGTGATTTTAATCTCAAATACTAATATTGTATTTCTTTATCAGTTGAAATGAAGACTGTATATGTGTACATATTTATGCATGTAAAAAATGGTAATGTTAGTAATTTTTAATTTAAAATATATCATCACGGAAGTCATAACTAATAGTGACTACTTAAATATTTATTTTACCTAATTAGGTAGGTATCTAAAATCTAGTTGATATGTCGAATATCTTTTATATTATGCAGGGTGTCTCAAAAAGAACACAGGACTTAAATCTGCTATAAATTAAATTTATTTCTTTAAAAAAAACATAACAAATATATCATTCTCTTGGACGACTGCGGAACGAGTATCAGTTCGTGTGTGAGGGTTTTAAACGAGACGTGCACCTTGCGCGGTGGGTTCTGATCTGTCCAGAAAACCCCTTTCCTCAGTTTTTTCCTTAAGTGTGACGGGCCTGTCCACTTCGCGGCGAAGCCCGCGTGGAAACCTTGATCGGATTTGGAGAGAGAGTGTGCCTTAACGAAAACCTGGTCCCCGACAGCAAACGCACGCCGGTTTTCTTTCGATTTATCGGCACCCGTGTTTATGTCCGATGTTGCCGGAACCCACGGCGCACTATCAGACCTCACGGTTAGTGCCCAATCTCCCGGAATTTTAGTTTCGTGTCCAAACACTGAAACTGACGGTGAAATACCGACCATGTCGTTCTTTCGGTTGCGCAATGTAAATAGAACCGAAGAAAGTTTCTGGTCCCATGAACGATGATTATCGTTCACCAGAAGTGCTCGCAGACCCATTTTCAGCTCCTGATTACGTCTTTCTACCGAATTGGCTTTCGGGTGGTGTACTGGGGTAGTCCACCCCTCCCCCTATCGGTTGAGTGCACTTGTCCACACATCCGAGGTAAACTGAGGGCCATTATCGCTTAGTAGTACACATGGCTAACTAAATCTCGCGAAAAATTCCCTTTCCAAAGTTTGGGTAATTACGCTGCCATTGCTGCACCTAAAGGATACGCTTCCACCCACCTACTGTGACAATCATTGCTGACCATGCATATTTGAGTATTTTATAGAGCTAGAATCCCCTAAGCCAAATAATAATCATAATAACTGACAATATTTGTTTCCATATTCTTTAACTTGCAAATATTGGTCAAAAATATATTTTTGTAGATTGAAAACATGGTTAAGATCAAAAATAAGCCAGCATAGACTAACAGGTTTAGCTTTACTGCATGTGCATAAAGATATCCATTGATGAAATAATCAACAAATTTGCAAAAATGAAAAATATAAATTTGAAATTTGTTATTTGACTACTTACCAACCTTATGTTTTCTACTTAGATATCTGTTAAATTAAGTTACCTATCTTAATTGTTTTTTAAAGTTTTTAAAAAATAATTAATAGGTACTATTACTACTATGAATATTTGTTGCTTTTTTATACATGATTCAAACTGAAGGTACAATTTTAATATAGGAACTATTTGTGTTGTTATTATTAATACTTATTGTACATGCAGTAGGTTTTAAATATATTTATTATAAAAATATTTAATTCAATTTGGTATTTTTAGTTTTATTTATTCACTTGAATGAGCAACAGAAACATGAGCTGTAGGTAATGAACTATAAATTATTTTTAAGTTTTTATAAAAGAAAAATTAGTTTCGCCCCCCTCCCTCCAAGGCCTCATAATAAACAGGCCTTTGCCATTTTAGGTGTATAAAATGTCAGTGTATTAGTGTAAGTCAAGAATAAAGATCAATCTTAATTCGTGGTATAAGGTTTATGGATATTAATGCAATTTTTCTTTTTACATCTCATCTCTAATCAGAGAATAATTGATTTTCTTACTAATGTTATGTTTTTATTAATATTCCATTGCACATTTTGTCTCAAAAAGGAAAGAGACTGACGGAGTTTAAAAACATTTTCACATTTTTTTATAAAATGTTCAAATTCAACCTCAATATGGCAATATATTCCTAAAACTTAACCAAAAAAACATATTAATTTGCACAATATATTTTTTAACCTTGAATTATGTTTTTTTTTTGCTCTAAAAATGTTCGTATATCAATTAATAGGAAATGAATCGTCGAGAAAGCTTATTTAATAGGAATCGCATACTTTCAGTAAAAATATGTAAAAACATAAAAATCTGGTTTCTAGTTATATCCATGATTAATAAAAGTTTAGACAGAAGGGGCTTGAGACAGCCACTCTTAAAATAGATTTTTCCGATTGATATAGTGCTCGTTTTTGCGTTAAAAAAATATGCAAATGTGCGTATACACAATGCATTTTTATACATGCGCACTCGTGAAATTTACTATATTTTTTTGACGTTAACGTTGTTACAAGCTACAGAAGGAATAATTTCGTATTAAAAAGATAATTCATATTTACAGATACAAAAGGCAAATGATGATCCCCAGAAATATTACTAAATGGATGATACTCGTAAGACCTTATTCAGTTGTACATAATAACTGGGATTTTTATTTTATTTTATCTATTATTATGAGGAACATCGGTAAAAAAAATTATTATACCACTCATGTGGGTTTTTGGTACGTTGGATTTTTTTTTCGATCAGATTTTTATTTGATTGATGCGGAACATATAAGGGTGAGGTAGTGGTTTGTTCTCTCTAAAAGAAAAAACTGGGACTAGGCGTTTAAGTGTTCTGATCTATCACGACGCTCCAAATATTATTTAAAATATTGTATACTTACACACTACTACTTATTACTTATTAATATAAAATACTTACAGATAACAACCGATTCGAGCATCTCAAGGATGCGTTCAGTGTTAGTGGATGGCATTGAAACATAATAATCTTAATTAATTCTATACCAGCGCGTGAACGAGTTTTGTTTAATATTTTTCTTGAATACCTACTAATTAAACCTTCAATCGATCAACATTAGCGACCGGATGGTTAGGTAATATAGGTAAGTATCATAATCATCGCTATTACAGTATTATTATACATAGTTCTTTAGTACCTACAGCAGTGGTTCTAAAACTTTTTTGTCCGCGGAGCCCTTATGTTTTCAAAACAATTTACGAAGCCCCAAAAATCAGGAATTTATATTCAAGACAAAAATAATTATTAATATTTCACATTGAGAAGAACACACAGTTCAAAATTTCATTTTTTTAAAGTTCGGATTTTGTCATTTGCTATGAAAACTTTGGTCATTTTAAGTTTTAATGACAAATTTACTTCATTTAATTTTGTGAAAATATCAGCCAAGTTATGAAGTCATAATAACTACATTTTATGAAAAGTCTTAGTTGTAAATAAAATTGGTGTCACTAAAACGTATAATTCGTTGCGCAATTCAGGTTACCAGTGTTTTTCCTCAATAACTTAGAAATTTAATAATATTTAAATTTAGATAGTTAATATATGCCCACAGAGTCCCTAGACTTCTTCCGTGGATCCCTAGGATTTCGAGGAGCACAGTTTGAGAACCGCTGGCCTACAGAATGTCGCATATTGCGATATCTCTTGAAATAATGAAGGTAAAAAAGTCTGTTTCATTTTGTACAACTTTAGTGAAACGAAGAATGTGTTGATTTTTCCATAATGTGTATTATTTTTTTTTTTTTGCGTAAACAATTTCAACTAAAAATATTGCCTATAAACATTTCAATGGTAAATAATTTCTGATCGGAAATATTGTCTAATTGGTACTTTAAGGGAAGTAATTTTACGAGTTTCCCAATAGTTTTCTTAATAATTACGAAAAATTGAAAAAAAAAGTTTTGAAAATACGGATAAATTTACGGCATAACTATATTATATTCAATAAGATCGAATTTTAATTTTCAACGTAACTTAAAAAATAATATTCGTATGCATTTTGAATTTTCTCTGAGTGCTTTTATTATAATTTGTTATTGATTGTATAATTTTCAAAATATTTGTGAACTAATTATAAATATTAAAATTTTTATTTTTTCGAAAATGTCGAAATAAATGTCCACTACATTATTTAGTTAAAAGTTCATAACATCTTCAATTTTTATACTTAAGGTTTGAAAATTGCATACAAGATTTTTCATGACATTTATTTGTAAAAAAAAAAGAAATTAATGGAAAGTAACAAGAATGAAAATTAAATGTTGGCAAAATTAGGTATTTCAATGCATTTTCATTAAGCGGTATTAGTTATTTAGTGAAAGCCACTTCATGGTTTCGATTTACTTTAATAAAGTTTGCACTTAAACACATGACATTTTTCCCAATTTTATTTTATTTCTTTGTTTTTTCTCAAGTTAGAACATTAAAAGTTCAACTTACTCTATTAAGAAATTTGATTATTTTACTTTATTATACATCTTTAGCAGTCCCTATTTTTCATAAAAATTTGTACTACATATTTTTTAATATAAAATTATGTGATAGAGAGCCCCTCTCTTCCCCATTTCCATATGATTATAATTTTTAGTACAATATCAGAAATAATGTTAGTAATAGTTCTTTTTTATTAATCAAATTGTACATAATAATTAAGGAGCTACCAATCGGTTAGTATTTTTTAAACAGAAAATATACTTATGTCTAGTATAAATCTGAAAACTATTAACAAATTATTTATTTTAATGTGGAATATATAATTTAAAATTTAATAGATATATTTTAGCTGTCTTGCATAAACTGACTTCCTGAAAAACACATTTATAGTTGTCTTATTTATTAATAGTATGTATACACTTCTCGAATCCATAGTGCACACTTCCAATTTCAGACTACACTGTGTCGGAGTTCGCTAAAAACAGGGGTGGGGCCGATCATTAGAAATATAAACTAATCCACCCAATTTCTTCTATCCAGAACGGTTTTTCGAGAGCAATGATGCATTGATTTTAAGGCTTAAAACCAATAAAATTATAGCATTCACCCATCACCATATCATTTCTGGCAGTAAAGTTTCACCCTACATAAAATACTATTTTATATTTAATATACAGGGATGAGGACTAAAAATATTCATAAAATAACTTTTTATTATATTTTTTACGTACAATTCACATAGATATTCGTTATAATGAGGTTTATATTTCTTAATATTTTATCCCTGAAGTTTACCAATATAAAAATAAGACTGCATTTTAGGATCTTCGTTATTTCAGAAACTATCATAATAGGTATATAATATGTATTACTTAGTGGGACAAACTCTATATATTATTCTGGTAATTAAAAATACACTAACGATTTTCGTTATTTCTTAAGTATTTCTCTATTATTGGTGTCTAATATTCATTTTCCTGATATATTTTTATTACAAGTCCAAATACATCTGTAAATAAACGGTACTAATAACTAGGGTTTGAATTTCAATGCATTTGTATTTTTTCCGTGATTTTTTGAAGTTTTAAAACTTGTTTTATCAATTTTCAGACTTTTTTTATGATTATTATTGTCTACCACACGTACGTATATATATTATATTATATATACATATGTACGTACGTATATATTATATTTGATTTAATTTGTACGGTATAAAAGTCTAATTAATTTAAGTGCATCTTTTTTTGTACGATCATTATATTTTGTATTCATAAATAGGAAGCTAATAAAAATGTTAAATTAATTAAATATTTTAATTATTTTAAAATTGATGAAGGCTTTTATAGTAATAATCATTGTTATAAAAATATACGTAATACATTTTTATAATTGCTAAGGTCAACCGTCATCATAATATTGGAACATGGGCTAGAATATTTTTATTATAATTTCATTAGTATGATGTTCATTTACTATTTAGCTATTTGAGGACTGTAGTCTCTATAACCTCTTCTATAGCCTATATAACTGCCAGATTTGACAATGTACCTCTTCCCAACTAGTTACGTCATACAGATTACACAGAAACACTTTGTATACAAGCCAAAAAGCATTGCTCTTTACTGTGCTTGGCTTAGATCAAATTCAAAACATCTATGTATAACTATTTCAACAACTTAACAAGTGTCACAATTAAAAATGGGAATCAGATTTGACTAATGATGTCTTGTTATTATAGAATTACAAATATATATATATACATTTGATTTATAATACATTAGTGTAAATATATTATGTATTATTCGTTTTTTTATTATGAAACAGTAGTCTAGTCAAATAAATAAATTTGTCAATGGTATCTGTCAATTTATTTATCAAACTAATATGGTTAAAAGCCATAGAATATGAAACTTTTTAGTATACATGAAAATAACAATTTTTTGACGTCGGTACTTAGCAATAGCACAGACTATATGACTAATGTTTCTAGTAGTAGTATGTATAATGTACATAGACAATAATATATGATAATATAATAGGTAAATTGAGATTTATATTATTTGTATTGTTATATTAAGTATGTTCACGAAGAGTGATGAATGAAACCATTTTATGCAATAAATAAATCGAATGGTAATAATTCATTGGTAATACTATAGACAATGTCGATTTATCAATAACGATTAACCCGATCATTAATCTACATAGTGGTTTGTCACTTGATCTCATGTTGATAGGTCATTAGAACGTTATTTATAGAAATTGTCTTATATATATCAGCAATTAACTACACTTAAACTGGACTATATGCAGTGGCTGCAGAAATTAAAATTTAATTTTAAGGTTTATAACTACTCAAATATGTAAAAGCAATAAAAAACACTTTACAAAATTATGGGTGTGAGTGTGTCTTTTTGCCCCATTACTTACAAATTACAGGTTATTATTTATTGTAAGTTAAAATGGGCGCATTTTAACTTCGCCACAAGGACCATTTTTAATGTAAACTCCACCAGAAAAAAAAAAACAGGTAAAATTGGGTTTATGCAATGCCGCATTACACTAACTTGGGCTCGTATGCAGTGGCGTAGCAAGGGTATGGCGAACTGTGCCTATGCCAGGGGCACCAATTGCATAGGGACGCAAAATTGTGCACAAATCGTATTTTTATCCTACAATCAAATCGAAATTTTTCTATTATCTTTTTGAAATACGTAGATGTTGTTTATTTGTACAGACTACATTTGAATTTAATGATGAAATTAGGAAAATAACACAAGGGCATTTAAATAAAAAACTTCATATGAAGAAATTATCGATGAATTTTGTCATAAAGCGAGGAAAGTAAATTTTCAAAGTTTAAACACTTTAATAATGACTTATAAATAAACATTTTATCCTTAAAAAAAATATCGTAACATCAAATTTTAATTGATTAAAAAGCGTTTTTTTTTCTAAGAGTTTGCCAGGGGCGCTAGCGAGTCTTCCTACGCCACTGCCCATGTGTAAGTAAAATGAATGAAACCGTACCGTATTTGCAACCAAATTTTGAATTTCGATTATACAGACTGTAATAGAAACTTTGATGTACGATAATGTGTACAAAACAAAATCAATCAATTATTTTTCATGTATGTAAATATTTATTTATAACTTAATTATTTTAAAAATTTGCAAAAGTACTATTGTACATATCTACCTTCTATCGAAAGATTGAATTAATATTATGCATCGAAATTATACAGACCTATTATTGAAAGTAATATTGAAGGGACTGATATGGTCGTTGTCTCACATACACCCATAATCATGAATGATTTACATGTCACTTATGATACACCATCTTTGTTTACTGAGTAATTATCATTTTTAGTTAATTTATTATATAATATAAACAATAAAAATGAATAATTTTATAATTTTTTTATAAAAAATATACAGTTGACGATAGACGAATCGTAGACATACAGTATGTTTTTGAATCTATTTCTAAAATAAAACATGAACCATTTGGCTGCACTTTTTCAAATTTATATTTAATAAAAGAACGCCAGACTGGATTATACAGTAAATTCATATTTAAATGTAAAATTTGTAACAAATATAAATTGTATCCACTGAATATCCAGAAAACGCTCTACCAATAAACTTAGCTATGGTAGCATCTACTATAAATACTGGGCAGGGTTTTCAAGCTTAAAACAATTTTCAGCAACATTAAATATGCCATGTATGTCTAATCCTAAGTATCAAAAGCTCTATGAAGAAGTAGGAAAACAAATTGAAGGTATTTCTTGGGAAGCTATCGAAGAAGCCGCCAAAGAAGGAACTAGACTTGCATATGCAAACGAAGATTTAAGTAAAGATAGTATTCCAATGATTAATGTAGTAGCAGATGGAGCTTGGTCTAAAAGATCATATGAATCGAATTACAATGCTTTATCCGGAGTTGAAAGCATAATTTATATAATTTTTTGATTACTATATTCCAGTCAGTATTAGGAACCTATAGCATTAGCACAAGCACAAGCTTGTTTAATTCTATTGAAATGTTGTCAAATAATGGTTTTTAAATAGCACATAAAAATTAATATCGCATTTGTTCATAGGTTATTATAAAAAAAAATATGCACATAGTACAATTTTATAAAAATATATACATATATTATTGTTATAAAATGATAAGACCAGAATATTACTCATGCCATTCAAAAAATGTATATTTCCAAATCTATTTCTCCGTCCCTGCAGGTTGCAGTAGTTAAGTTTCAGTTTAATTGGCCTACAACAAAGAATTATTTCTCAAACTATATTTATTTTACATATAATTATGTGTATGTTTGTATTTTATACCGTTTGCTAATAAAACTTAATAATATAAATATAGTACAATTTAATAATAAGGACATACACGTTTAGTTAAGTTACGATATTATTAACTTCCAATAGATTTTAGAATAAACAGCATACGCGTTATTTGAATGTTCAAGTTCGGAAAATCGTTTTTCAAAGCTTCTACAACACTTGTTAAATCGGAATTTATCTTCAACCCGGCTGCTAGTTCGTCATTCATTTTTGATTCATTTTTTATCACCATACGGTATTTGTCATTATTAACTTCTTCCAAGAATTTTGCATAACTCTGTTTGTAGCTTAATTCATAAACGTTCTTAAAAAAAAAAAATAAAAAAAAATATTAATATAAGTGACATATTTATTCCACCCAAGATAAGTATATATATTTATATCATCATTAGTTACACTAGGTATACTAGATATTTAGAGTTTTCCCAAGAACATTATTTGCAGCATTATAAATATGTTTAATAGTATTTATATTTTGGCTGGCCCTAAATTTATAAATCGGATAACTGTTTAATGCGGCAATGAGACCTATTGGAAAATCTAGATAAGATTAATAACCAACTAATATTTAAGATAACTTAAAGTTCGGAACATAGGCGTGCGCAGACTTGTTTTTCAGGGGGTGCCTACTATATTTTTGGGCCCGGTCTTAACAAAACGTGTAGGTATATTTTACAAATTGTAATATATAATTAATTAAATAAACAAAACTCTAATTTTTTATTTAATATTGTCCTAATAAAAATGTTTTCCTTGAATCATATATATTTTTCTCATATAGTTTCAACTAATTATTATTTGAACTTTTGTAGTAAATTTTAGATATTATATTATCAAGTTTTTCGATTGAAATTTAGATAATTTAGTTTTATTTTTTCCATTATTCAACATAATTGATTTTTTAATTATAAAAATTTTAAATAATTTTTACCAGATACTTTAGAATGAATTACATTTCATTTGAGCAAGATCAGTTACAATATTAGCTCTTTACTCTTAGACTTAAATAAAAGCCTCCCCCTTGCGAAAGCCTTTGGTAAGGAATATCAACCAAAAAACAAACAGTGAATTAATTTTAAATATTTCTAACTATAATTTTTGCAGATTTTTTTTTTGATTCACTGATAATAAACATGTTTCAATTTTTGTATTATATTTTTATAATCTTACTTCAATTGTTTGTTGGTTTAAAATAATAAAAATAAAAATTAAGAGTGAAGGATTCAATTTAAATATACAAATTCAACAAAAGAACAATATCAGACCAAAATAATCTGACATTTAACTAGTTAGTTTATTTTCTAATAAAGTTTTTTCATTTAACTAGTTTAATTGGCTGTTGAAAAAACTTAGCATTTCACAGTTGATTAAAAATTATCTATCAAGTAAAAAAAATTTGAAATTTTTCAGTTATACGTAAATATTAATATAAAAATTAAATAATCATGTAAAATAAAAAATTCGCATACACATCAGATATCATAATACATTTTGTAGATTGGGGGCCCACCTTTGGGTATTGGGTTCTGGCCGTGAATACAGAGTGTAATGTGTTTAGAATTTTAAGATGAATAAATAGGGTAGTGAGTGACCTCTTGATGTACAATGTCAGTATTCTTCAAACACTTCGACGCCATCGCTGTATATTATGATAAAAAATTAAATAAAAGTATTTATTATAATTTAGGAAATTAGATCTTTCTAAAGAACGGATTCACCTTTTATGTGATCTACATACTAATTAAAAAAAGTAGATTAACTTTTTTAAGCAGAGTTAATATTTTTTTCCTTATTAACTTTTAACTTATCGAGTTAAATTTATGAATTCTCAACTGTTAACTCTTAACTTATCGATCTTGTGTTCTCTTAACTTAAGTTAACTCGAGTTAATTATTTTCATTAACTTGCCCATCTTTGTTATGGAATACAAAAAATTAAATTGGTAAGTAAGAAGTTACTCATTAGCTTGAGTTAAGGAAAAATCTAAATGTTTAGATCAATAGACCATGACTAGTTTTTCTTCAATCGATGGAGGTTCCCGATAATAATAGGATTATGTAAGGCGTTGATTAATGGATTTTAGTAATTTTCAAGTTAGGAAAATAATTTTTTATGAAATACAAAATTTTACTTTTCAATTGTTGTCATGCCAAGATCTTTATAAAGAGTTAGGTTGCAATGATAATTTTACAAATTATGATATTTTGGAAAGTTTAAATTTTATTTTGGTTCATTTTCTTTGCTGTTTCCCCAGAGTCAGTGGCGTATTTACGGGGGGGGATATGGGGGATAGATCCCCCCCTTGACCTTTTTTTTTTCCTAGGTAGCTATAAGTTGTCTCATTTTCTCTAATATTCTTAATATGATATTACTTTCAAGCATGTATGTTTTCTGTTTTCTAAATGTTCTAGTCGTGGTAATTGTACCGCTTTGATAGTCTGATATACTAATCGCCACTAATCGTTTATCGTTGGCGGCATATACGACTATCAGGCATATACCTATATATATGGTGTACTGAATTTTGTACGTTTCTGCGAATTATTTTTCATGCAAGAGTGTTTATAATAAACCCGATAAGCAATCGGTAAACAAAACAAAATGACCATGAAGACCGTGGATTAACCATAGGGCGGCCGGGCGGGTTTATTTTTAGAAAATTTGTTACTAGTAGATTTATGGCTAATGTACAGCTATATATATATATATATATTTTATCTTATGATATCGTGATTCGTTAAAAGTAGATATGTACGGTCATTGGACGTTGACGGATAGCGACGCCGCGCCATTCCGAGTACTGACTTACTGCCGAATTGACTATTGTTCGACTTTATTTTTTGCGCCTTGTAAGTTGTAACTGTGAAGTTTTAAGACAATATGAGTAATATTCAAAAACAAAAAAAAACTTTATTTTCTTATTTTAGTACAAATAAAAAAATTTGTTTGGAAAATGATGAGGTAATTATAAAGATTAATTCTATTTTGCCTTGATCCACACTAACCTCAATAGGTAACAAGTTAGGGGATTTTAAAAATGTATATTATGTACGAATTAATGGGTGTTAGGATGTATTATTATATATTTCATCCCCCCCCCTAGAAAAATTCCTAAATACGCCACTGCCCAGAGTTGTAAATTATTAATTTTTTTTTAAGTTCAATATATATATATATAATTAAAATTAATTAAATTGTTTAAATATTAATAATATGAAAACATATTTCTTGTTCACAAGTGTATAAAAAATGTTCATAAAGTGAAGCCATTCCATTTTACAGTCAAATACATCAAATACTTGACAGATCGTAAATTTTCGATTTAAAATTGATATCAATTTTATATCAAACAAATCAAATCAAAATTTTCTTATCTTTTGCTATATAAATTTATCAATGATATAAACCTTTATATTAAGTGATTAAAAATGCTGTGTACCAAGGATCCATGTGGTTTCAAGTGGCATAATATATATAAATTTAATTTTCAATCTCAATCCCATCCATTTTCTAGTATTTTAAGATTAATATTCAATGAGTATCTTTTAAATCTTTAATCATTTATGTAATAGATACGAAAAATATTTTAGTATTAAAAATTAAAATCATATTCAATGTAATTCTATCTAAAACCATATCAGCAATATTTCTAAAAAAGGTGTACATCAGTATAATAATATATATATATATATTTATTATATATAATAATTTATTATTATTATATTAATATATTATATATAATAAATTAATTATTATACGTACTATTTAAAGATTAAAAATATACTTATATACTATAGTAAAAATGAAAATGATCATGCATTAAAAACAACCTTCATTTTTGTAACACCTAAATCTTTAATAGTTGCAGTCAAATCACTAATATCCTTTTCAACATTAGTAGTTTTAACATTTAAACTTGCAACTTTACACTCCAGTTCTAATTTATTATGTTGTAAATTGTTTGCACATGTTGTTAATCCTTCACATTCCTGAAAAAAATAATAATTTTCAATATTATAATTCAATATTTTTTTTTTTTAATAATTATTAAAAAAAAAAAAAAAGTATGAAAATATAAAAAAACTAATTCTCCCTATAACACATGGTATGTGTTAAATAATTAAAATTAAATGTTACAATAATAACTTTATTATTATAAAAATTATTCGAACAAAAAATATAGTTAGAACTTTATTATAATAACTAAATTAATATTAGAGTATTATAATAATTAATATTATCTATATATATAAAAAAATCTCGTTCCTTAGTGTTTGTGACTATATTCCTCCAAAACGGCTTAACCGATTTTAATAAAATTTTATATAGACATTTGGTAGGTCTGCGAATAGATTTTCATCTATTTTTTATACTCCTAAGTGCTATTGTTTAATAAATCGTAGTTTAATTTAATAATTTTCGAACCGATCGATAACTGCGCAATTGAAAATTAATTATGAAATGATACTATTAAAAAACTATTAAAAACTATATATTTTACTATTTTATTTTTGGTATTAAATGACGGATATTGCATAAATATTAAACAACAAGATACCGCAACAGGTGCCAAAACAATCAAGAATGTTAGTTCGAATGATTATTATACATATCGGTAGATGATTAGATGCGATCAAGACAACGTTATTCTACGGTGTCGTGAGCTTTGTCAACAGTTCATGGTTGCCATGTATGTAAAGATAGAGAGCGAAAAATTACGATACTTGTGATTCAATCAAATGAAGCTGCGTGCGGAACATTCTCAAAACAATTGTTAGATATCGCTGATGGGAAAGTTACTACAGATAAAACGAGATGTATAAAATTATCGAACGATTTTTGCACAATCATTTATCGCAAGATACTCTCATTGACCAGATATTTCTAAATGTACACAGACAATACACAAATCATGAGTGGCTGACAGAAAGAGCAATTTTAGTAGCAAAATATGTGGACGTCAAAGAATTGAATCTCAAGATACAACATTTGTTACCAGGAGACTTGGTGTCATACAAATCTATTGATACAGTTTGCAATGTTACTGAAGCTGTAAATTATCCAACAGAGTTTTCTAAACTCATTGGATTTACCAGGCATGCCACAGCATAATTACAACTAAAGGTTGGATCTCCGGTTATTTTGCTTCGTAATTTGAACCCACCACGGTTATGCAACGGCACGGATTAGTCATTAAAAAATTAAGGAAAAATGTTATCAAAGCTATCATTTTAAATGGATAATTCCAAGGTGAAAATATATTATTACCACGAACCCTATTATACCCACAGATGTGCCTATACAATTAAAACGCCTTCAATTACCAATTAGATTGGCATTTGCAATAACTATCAATAAGTCTCAAAGTCAGTTATATTGTACACTCTGTTGCATTAAGGGATTGGTATTATTTTTTACTAATATTGTTATAATTAGCGATATATATAATTTTAAAGGATCAATTTTAATAAATGATTAAAAAAATACATTTTTTATGTTTTTTTATTGTTATATTTCGTCACCGTTTACATCATTCCATACCACTTCCACTTATTACCACATCCTTACACACCTATATTAAATTAGTTATTTTTTCTAGCGAAATATTTTCTATAAATAATTTATATGACAAAACAACGTTTGTCGGATCAGCTAGTTTAATTATAAAAATAAATATTAAAAGTAATTTAATACGAAATTCTCGGTATAGTTACTTTTTTTTTTTTTTCTATAGCTGATCGTAAATTTTCAAGCTTTTTTAAAAATGACTGTATGTTAATCTTATTTCCCTTTAAACTATCAAATTTTGATACAGCTTTATTATAGATTGATGTATGTCTTAATAAGCTAAGTTCTAAGTTTTTCATGATTTTTTTGCTTTCTTTTTTTAATTGTTTTTCTCTTATCTAAAAACAACAATTGTTAGCTTAAATTTAAAGTTAAACGATTTATCAATTACTCAGAAAATTATTAATTGTTTTATATCTATACACACACGTCGTATCAGAGCAATGTAAAAATATATTACCTGCATCCTATGTATTTCTTTTTTTTTAGTTTCAATATAACTTAGATCACTGTCTTTGAGCTTAATTTTATTTTTATATTCAACAAGTGTCTGCACTTTTGTTTCCCACGATAAAGATTCACGTTCTTTTTCTGCACAAAGGTTTTTTATTTCATTTAATTCATTCTTTAGCAATTTCAATTGATTTGCATGTTCCAATGATTGTTTTTCATTTTCCTACATAATATAGCAATGTCGTTTTAAATCGTAAGAAATTATAAAATTATCAGAAAATTTATACTTTCATTAAATTAAAAAAAAAAAAAAAAAAGTTTACCAACATATATAATACGTATTAAACGTATTAGTTATTTGAAAATTAAAATAAATCTTAATCCTTCAAAAAGAATTAAATTATTAAAATATTGTAATATGCTAGTAGCTAGTGTTCATATTAACCTTCAATTCAACAATATAAGAATGGCGTAAATATTCATTTTCATTTAATAGTTCACTGCTTTTACCTTCCTTTTTGCAAAAATTTTCTTCTAATCTCAATAAATTTTTTTTTGTGGTATCAAGTGTTCGTTCGTGTTGAACAACTTGTTGAGACAAAGAAATTATTTCCCGGTTCAGAATTCTATTTTTTCTATCCAGTACTAAAGCGACTAAAATAAATTAAGAATTTTTCTTACATTTTGCTATAGATAATACAGTAATATTATATAGGTACAGGATATATTTTTTTAATGTACTCCAAGACATAGAAATATACAAATGGCAAGTAGAAATGAAAATATAATAATTAAGGTTAACAAATAAAGGCAAAATTATACTTATTTTACTTAAAGACATTTGAATATTTGCTTGAAAAAAAAATGTAATTTTTTTTTGTACTTATTAATAACATTTATGTTGTTTCAAGTACGTCTATTGGTAATGAAATTATTTCTTACATTTATAAAACATCTAAATTATTCTTTATTTTCTTAATAATAATACGTTATTGTTTAAATGTTTTATTTTTAATATACCTACCTGTAAATATTACATACCTTATGAACCACCATTCTTGATTGATAAATAATGCATATCAAGAATTTAAATTTAAATATTATACAAAATAATTTTAAAAACAAATTAATTTTAAATATATTTGTAACATTATAATATAAATGCTTACTCGAATGAACATTTTTAAGTTCATTATATTGTTCATCACGCTTATTCATTAGTTGAACATTTTGATTTTGATTTTGAACCCAAGATTTATTTATTAATTCTGTTTCTTTTTGAGCTTCTTCAATTTTATATTGAACTTCATCAATTTTTATAAAATTCTCCTACAATATAATGAAGATATTAATAATCAAATTAAATGTACGAGTATAATAATATAATAATCAATTGAGTTTCTCGACTTGCCTCTTCCTTCTCCGTAGTTATCATTATTATTTTTTCTTTCTTCAAAATTGATTTTGATTCATTATGAATATCAAGGTCTAGTTTTTTCAGTTCAGAATGTAATGTAGATAAAATAACTTCTTGGTCATTCAAACATGTTGTATTTTCTTCAATGTCATTTTTTAATATAGAACTGATTTCACGATATTGTTCAAATTGTAGTACAGCTTGTTTGAACATTTTCTCAAACTTGAGTAACATTTCTTCCTAAATTAAATATAAAAAAAATTTTTAATGAACAATATTATTTTTATAAATATAAATATATACTCGATCTTTAATTTGAATCGTAAGTTCTGATATTTTTTTACTATTTTGAATACTTTTACTATTTGTATTTGATTGTATTTTTAATTCGCTTAAAAAATCTTCTTCGTATTTTAATTTCAAATTTGATTTTTCGCCCAGTAAATTTATTAAAATTTGTATTTCGTTATTTACTGTTTTTTGTTCCTTAAATAAAAACCATTTATTTAAATAGTATTGATAATAGTTCAAAAATACGTACTAATAAAACTTGATCTAAGTTTAAGTATTCAAAATTTGTGATTTGTATGAGCTTAGAATATTCATCTTTAGATCTGTTGAATTTATCTAAAAGCGTATAATAACTATTTTGTAAATCACTCTGTTTTAGTTTAAGTTCATTTGAAGAGTTGTGAAGATATATGTTTCTAGTCGATTCGATTTGGGCATTGCTTTCATAACTATTTGCTTCTACTAGTAGTGCATGGTGTTCATCTTTTGCTTTCCTAAATATATAAATAATATATAAATAAATAAATGTAATATATTTCATTTGTACAAAAAACATATTTGAAAATAATTCAAGAAATATTTTTTATAATAAATACACAGGCAAAGTTATTACTGAAAATCAATTTTTATCCTTTGAATATTTTCATTGCGTTGTTCTATATTAGTTAAAACTTTGTTCCATAAAACTGTTAACTTAGCATTATCTCTTCTCGTGATATCCATGTCCGTCGAAGTGTCCATCAGTTTTTGCTTCAATAATTCACTTTCATTGTACTTTGTTTCAGCTTCTTGTTTCAATTGTCTTTTCTGATCTTCCAGTCTTCCGATTTCTTGAGTTAAAGATGAACACAACAAATTCTGATTGGTGAATATAATGATATAATATTATATAGCCATTAACACATATAGCATAAATTATTTGAGGTAACACAAGGGAAACTAAAATGTTAATAAAATACCATAATGTTTCAATATTTACACTCATGAAATTAATAATTGATTTTAATAAGTTTTTAAGTATAATATATAAATCATGATTATAATAAAATAAAATAATATCTATATTACTTTTGACCTGTTGTTTTTGGGTTACATTCTTCCATCAAACAAAAAGTTAAAAAATATTGATTTCTGACATATTAATGAATAAAAGGATGATGAAATAATCATAAATAAAAAATAAAAATACAAGTTTACAATTTAATTTGTACTACACTGGTTAAGCACCGTATTATTATCAATTATTAAATGTATCAATAATTGAAAATATTGGTAAAATCAAACATTTGATGGAAAAACATATTGTTTTTTTTTTTAAATATTCACTTGCTACAATCAATTAGATTAAACACAGCCAAAAATGATTAAAAAAATGAATTAAAAATTAATTAAAAATGAAATTGTTACCTTTTGCTGCTGATTGTTAAGATATATTTTTTTTAATTGTTTTAATGTGGATTTTTTGAAATCACACTTTTTAAAATGAACGACTTGTTCGCTTTCATATATTATTAAGTCTTTTAATAGACATTGGCTGTAACCTAGTTTTCTTTTTAGAATTGAAACTATTAATGTATAAGATATATGAATAATAATTATAGTGAAATTAAAATAATTAGCTAATAATACTATTGAAAATAAAGGAATCGTACTTTTTTTCCATTTCATTTGATATTTTTGTAGTAATTTCATTGCATTGTTTTTTTCCTTGATTAATCGATGCTACAATCTTCTCTCTTATTATTACTATTTCAGTTTTAGTTGAATTTAATTTTATAAGTAAATCACGCTGAGCTTTTAAGCGATTGGATATGATGTTTCTTTTTTCATTTTCTAATAATACCTTCTGATTTTTTTTTGATTCAATTCTTTGTTCCTGGTAACAAAATGTATTTATATTATTATTTAAGATATTAGAAGGTTATGAATTACTCCATAGGGTTATTCGTACTAAATAAACCTACCATTTCAAATAACTCTTGTTTAAGATCATACTTTTGCTTTACCAAATGTTGCTTAAGTGCATTTTGAAAAATAGTCATCTTAGAATCATCGGGATTAATAATTTTTTTAGTTTTGTCTGTGTCGTGTTGGCATGTTTCAACTCCTAAAGGATTTCACATATTATTTAATATTTTCAGTCGTTTTTAAAACTATCTAAGTTATTTTCACTTTTTTTTAACGATTCATATAATTTAAAAATCTGAAATAATCAATTTATAATCCTAATTTTTCTAAAGATATACCATAGTAACATAGACGTGCACAAACTTCAACTTCCAATCGAGCCTGAGTACAATTAGTGCCCCAATACTTAGACAGTATCCCTAATTTTTTCTAATACTTCAACATAGTAGATTCTGTTGTAAATTAAAAACAATGTAGTATTTATATCTATACATAGAATCAAGTATTAAATTGCAATTTTTAGACATATAATTTTGAAGATAAAGTAAAAATTGAAATTCTTTAAAATCAAATGATACAAATACAATCAATTGATTTCCACGAATATTAAAATATATTTAGACATTTTACTATGGTTATTTTTTAATTTTACTATGCTCCCAAAAAAATTCCAGTCAAGTTGGAACTCGCCTCGAACGCACGCCTATGCAAAATAATTTATGTTTGTGACTTTTTATATTAAAAAACATTTTAAACATTGTAATAAACTATATAATGGCTTGCCGAGCTACAATTTTATAACCCATTAATGAAGTATACAAATCATTACAAGACACCAATTCGTTATTATTTATATGTAGTAAACACACATTTTATATGTATATATAATAAATTATAATATACCTTCACAAAGGTCATCAGTTGAAACGTCCGTTTGTGATTCGCTCATATTTACTACACAATATCCGGTAATAAATCTATCAAAATTTCTCTCAAGCAATATATTATAAAATAAAGGTCGTCTCTTAAATATGTAAAAATATTATGTTTATGCCATAGAAACAATCAAATACTATACAACCGGATACGATCAACCTGGATATCAACGATGGTATTCTAATACCTCAGAACATAGTGGTTTAACTATTTTAAATCCGCGAGCAAATTCAATATGTCACCACGTGCCAAAAAAAAAAAAAAAAATGAATTTGTTTATACATTATTAATTATAATTATACAGGGTAATTTGATAACTTTTTTATCATGAATTAGTCTATATCTTGGTAAATATTAGATATTTTAAAGTAATTTGATTATCAGGTTTCTTTCTAGGTTTTACTGTTTTACACTGTTATAATTTTGATAACGTATACTACCTCCCTTATTTGATAAAATTTTATCAAGTTTTGATTTTCAAAAGGCAACACCTTTTTTCGATAGCAAAAATCTATAAGCATTTTTAAAAAAATAATTTTAACTTTTACGCTATTCAATTTGATTCAATTTGCGATTTATTAACGTTTAAATATTCATTAAATTCAAGTAACAAACTAGGCAATTTATCTGACCCAACAGTAAAAATCAGAAGTCAAAACGAAATTTAATCTAAATTTAACGATACCAAATAATGGCCGTAACTGAAAATTAGGGAACGGATTTATATGAAAACGCATATTTTTATAAAAATAAAATATTAAAGATTCCATAACAAATGTTCATGATTTAAATAATTCTTATTAAAATGATGCTACTTTTATTTTATATATTTTTACATATTTTGGTATAATTACATATTTTTACATATTTTACACTAATTGTATATAATAACTAGGACTCGGAAGTTGATGACTTTAAAAACATTAAAAAATCACCTAAATAATTACAAATATTTGTTTTAAATTAATAAAAATATATTTTTTTAAATATTTTATTTTACTATAACATTCTATATAAATTTATCAAAGCTTACAAATTAATCAAAATATGACATAAAAATGACAACAATGTCCTTAAAATATGAAATAAAAAATTGACAAACATTTGTTTTATAAATTTATCAAAGCTTACAAATTACTCAAAGATCAAAATCATTGCATTGCATTGTATAATTAGAGCGCATTTGATATTACCAAAAGTAAATCAATGACGATTATCTGTTTATAAATATTTATATTTGGAAAAATTTCTCTCCACGACCATTGAAATGATTGGGAGACGCAACCGAGCACTAACCGACGTTTTAATTTTCGCCATTTCGAAAATATCACGAAAAAATAATAAGATTTAGATATAATAGGTATTAAGCCGGTCCCACACGTCTCGTGTACTCGGCGAATAATCGCCAATCGTGATGCTTTACGAGTCGTGTAGGAGGTGTTTAATTTTCAAGTAAGACTATTATTTTTACTCGCCGAGTCACTCGCGGTTTCCCGTCGGTTTCGGATATAACAGCGTTTCTCAACCAGGGGGTCGCGAACACCTTGACTTGGGATCGCGTAGGTCAAAAATAATAAAATGCTGATTTACAAAATGTAAATTCAAATCAAATTTTTACCTAATATAGATGGAGGGGGTAGGTCGCGAAGTGATTGACTATATTTTAAGCCGGTCCCACACGACTCGTGTACTTTGTGAGCGTATACTTGGCGAGTGTACTTGCCAAGTTTGTACGATGTACGATGTTTGTAATTATGTTGCTCCTACACGACACGTGTGCTCGCCGATTATTCGTAAATTGTATATACTTTGCTCGTCATCGCCAGTGTTCCTACACGACTCGTGTGATATTAACAATAAATAATAGTCTATTTTGGGGGAAAATCCAAGATTAAATTTCTTATCAGCACGAGTCACTCGTGTTGTATCCGACATCAATAGGAAACCGCGAGTGACTCGGCGAGTAAAAATAATCGTCTTACTTGACGATTAAACACCTCCTACACGACTTGTAAAGCATCAC